TATCAAAAATAAATTTATTTTAAAATATTATTTTGCACTTGTGACGTATTTTCAATTTAATCAGAGTTTAAGAAACCTTGAAACAATTATTGCCCTGGACAATTATACGCCCGGGGATAAATCCCCGCCTTTCCCCCCCCCTCCCCACGGATCCGGCCTTGCTGCTCAGAATCGCTTTTCGTTAGCAGCGGTTTATCGTCGCATATATGTAATTAAATTAATCAATTAATCAAATCACTCTACATAACTTCCCTTTCAACTTACCTCCTGAAACAGTGTCGCACCCGTCAGAATATTATCGGCTTTTTTTTCGTTTTTTCTCCGATATCGTTTGAATATCGAAATGGTTGTTTTTACCGTTATTGTTATTATCATTATTTTCCCCCGTTTCGCACATCGTAACAATTCGATATACCTACCCGTATGATATTGAAAACGACATTTTACATCGTAATGGTGACGCGTGTAAAATACAATGTTGAAAAAAAAAAATAATAATAATAATAAAAAATTATCGTCTCGGTGTACCCACAATAACATTTTGTTTATCCGGCGCGCCGGGCGAGACTGTCCGTTCGGATTATACTCGTGAACGGGTTTCCCATATGTGCCTACGTATCCGCGATATTATAATAACGTCGTCATTCGATACTTGATATGCGTAGGTAAGTATCGGCGGGGAAAGGAGGGGGAGGGGGGAAGGCGAATCGTCTCGGGTCCGCGTCCGTACGCCAGGCGCGACCCTCGAGTACGGCGGCGACAACGTGCAGCGCGATACGGACACCACGGTATTTATAATGTAATACGTATGCACCGGGTAAAATTGACTGTTCCGACGTTTATTCGTTGTTAGAAGTGCCAAAAAAATAATAACAATAATAACAAAAATAATATTAACGACAAATACGTTCAGGCGGATCGGTTTTATCGATGGCAGTACAATCGATTGTGTGTGTATAACGTGTGTCTTGTTTTCGAACTTGGCGGACGTTAAAGCTGTTTATTTCGACATGCGTTCAATTATCGGATGTGTCCACATAACGATAACCATTTGGTATCGCCGAACCAATTATTACGATCGGGGGGAGGGAGGGGGAGGGGAAATAAAATAAAAATACGTCCTAGGACAACGGAGACGGGGGCGCAGCCGCCCGCACAAAGGCAATCCGAATACGTAATACCCGTCAGCAACCGTTAAACCGTTGCTTACGAAAAAACTATTCCGAGCGGAGTTCAGTCGATAGTGATGCTTTGTCGACGATGTATGTGTCGTGTTATAGTGAAACAATTAAATAAATAAATAAATAGGCTTTATGTATTCTCTTTAATAATATTCGTTTAGTGTTGTACCGATTTTCCTACGTTTTTCCGGCTTTTCACAATTCTCTTGGGAAATCTTGGGAAAATCGAAAACGACCTCCCCAAAGTATCTTCCCAGTCAAATTTCCTTTCCGAAACAAACTGCTATCGTTTTTAAATCGGAGCCAAATTGATTTTGGAAAAGATGTTCACAGGAAAAAAGAAGGCCGTTATATATTTTAACTAATACCAACATTTCTTTCATTTTCCCGTTTTTATTTTTCGGTTTTCGTCAAATTTGACGAAAACCGAAAAATTACATTTTAAAGTACCTTTCCAGTCGGGTTTTCTTTTAGAAAAATTGCTATCATTATAAATCGGAGCAAGATTTCTGGTTAAAAAAAAAAAAAGAATAAAATAACCTTTTTTGTAAAACCGTAAGCTCTTCGCTCCCCTCAGAATCTAAAACGTTAGATACCTATAGGTACTCGGTGGTTCGGGTAGGTTTTTTACGACGTGCAATTTATTATATTATATTATAGTGCTGACCTCGCGCCAGGACCACTTTACATATGTAAAGAGCGGTATTTCTGAAACTCTTATCTAACGAATCCTAACAATCGTCTAACAATATCGATCATGGGGTCGTCCCGTATAGATATTGTTTGGAATTTTTTATTTCGTTTTCGTCTCGTAACGCAGTACGTATTCAAGCAGTACAAATCTCCAGGGTTTATTAAGTTTTGCCATTTTTTCCCAAAAACGCCGAACAGGGAGTTTTTGTTCGATTGGTTTCGCATAGGTCAACGCATTTCGAGCCGATAAATGAAAAAGATTATTATTATTATTATTTTGTTCTTTTTTGTTTATAGATTTCCAGAGCATTAAACCACAGCTAAATGTCTGTACGTTCAACAAAACCGTCTATATTTATTACAATTATTTTTTTTCGCGATTCGAAATCCGATGATACGGTTTAATTTGTAAAGAAAATCAATGCGATCCGGGACACGTGCCGCGTTCGGTTTAATGATGACGACGATCATCGTCGACGACGAAACGAGGATTAAGCCTTTGTCGTCCCTCTGCCGTCTTAGCGCTTCCCCTGCAAATGCCGTCTCCGGCGTCGGTCCGAAGTTTTAATCGGCTCGTGCTGTACTCACGCACAACAACAATATTTCGAGTTTTCTTTTGATATACGGCGCGTGTTCCGTACTTGTTTTTTTTTATTTTTTTTATTTTGACATTCCGCTTTTAGACGGGACGGCCAAACAATAGTTAAAACGATAATAAATAATCCGAACTAGCTTGCTTTTATTTTATCCCCTTCGCTTTTCGTAACTACCGGAATCTCGGTGACAATAGTAATATTGTCGGCGTACAGAGTGCATAATTGCGCGTAAATCATTATGTCGAAAACAAAAATTACGCATATTAAAAATTGTATGTTTTTTTACATTTTTCTGGTATGTGAACGTTTCAACTTGTACAGCTCTGCGACAATGCAGTTTCATATTGTATACGTTTATAGATTCCGTAATTTTGTATTTATTTATGTTTTTTTTTGCGTGTATAAGTTTATCAGAACACCTAACCTACCCGGTACATCTGCAGTTGGTCCATTTATTTGCTAGTGGTTACCCGCATAGTTATGGTTGTTGATTTGGTTAGCAAGATTATTCACAACACTATCAGAACTATTATTGTTGATTTAAACACGAGTAACAAACATAAAAAGGCTACAACCGCTGATGTATGTGCCGCTGTTTAAGGAGAAATGTATAAAAAAAAAAGGAAGTTATCCTCTTAGATAGAGTAGTAATATTTTGATTTATATCTGTGCGTGACGATGAGCCACTGCTAACGAAAAACGATTCTAAGCCGAGTATTTAACAGTCGTATTTTGCACGTATTGTTGTTAATGCAACATGATAACAACATTATTATGCGACAGGCGTGTATATTATTTCCAATAGAAAAAGTCGGCAAGTTTTTTTTTTTTTTCATCGGTCAGCCACGTACGTTGAGTTGGCTACACGTTTATTTTACGGCGTTTCGGGTTGCTAGTTGCTACGTTTATGTTTAATAATATTTCAACAAATTAAAACCGAGCATGGAACATTTATGCGATTTGTCGCGAATTCAACTATTAAAGATCGCGTCCCGATAACAAATAGAAATCGAAATGTATAGATTACGATACTGCGTTAGTAAAAACATGGCTAGTAACACTATAGTCGTATTGATCTTTGTTCTGTTCTTGTAAACACAAAAAACGTTAAGTAACGATTTGTTCGAATATATTTTCGAAAAAGGCGTGTTTTGTTTTTTTGTTATACGTTGCTTTCGTTTCAATTTGGATTTTAAATGCTTTTATCCGATTGAATATTTATGTTTAGAACGTTGGCTTATATGATATAAATATTTCAACGTGGAGCATGAGAATACAAACCGTTCAGCCTCGATTTAAATGACTCTCGACTATTTACTATGTTAACTGCTGCCGGAAATTCAAATATTAGGCGAAACTATAGAATCAGTTAATTAGTATTAATTTACACGCGGGACTCAATTCACCGCTTTCATTTTGGATTTCGAACTCAGTAATGAATTTATCGGATTTACTATGATGTTTGTTCTGCTGTCTATTAACGACTCGTCTACCAGACACTTTTATCCGGTAGATCCTCGAGTGGAGCATCATCGTCTTTTCCGAAAGCAATTTTTCGTTTCTAATTAGTTCGTTGATATTCCTCTGGGTGTTTTTTAATATTTGAGAAAATCGTGGAAAAAACACATTTCATCGTTATATTTTTTGATTTTGTTTGTTTCGTAATTTGGTTAAAAATAACTGCAGACTTCAGAGACCTGAATCGTTCACAGAAGACTTATATTAGCTCTTTCTATATTTAGCGATACGATATACAAAACATTCTGGCGATTTTAGAGTTGTTTATAGCCATTTGAAAGTTTCGAGATTTTTAGTTAATAACAACGAAAAATAATCCGAAACGAAAATAACGGAACCGCAATCGGGTATGTGCTTCCGATTTTTTTCCCGATTATTAATAAAACTGCGAGGAAAATTAAAATAAAAAAAAAAACAAATAAATCATAACTTCCCGAACGCACATAACTGGACAAGATTTGCTTTTGGAAAAAATGCTACACCTGAAAATTCGGACCGAATACATTTACGACGGGAAATTCGCTAACACGATCGCGCTCAGAATCTAACAGAAACACAACAATATGTCGATCCAACGAGACAATACACAGTGTTCATATCGTTATAACATTATTATTATAAATTATCCCGCTACACGCCGTTCGGATACACGTATTTTTATTATTTCTTTTTCTTTTTGGTATACTTTTTCCCGGTCGTGCATAAGGTCACAATAATATTACCGTGTTGTTTAGAGAAGAGCGAAATCGCGGCGCGGCGACCAGGGGAGGGGATACAGCGCTGGGCTGCGGCGCGACGACGGATTAAAAAGAGAAGGACGTTCGCCGGCGTTAGTTGGAAGAAAACGAGCCGAACAGAATAAATAATGAAAAGGAAAAAAATAAACCGCGCGATAATAAAATACAGTGCCCAAAGTGATTTGTAATTTTATTTTTTTTTTTTTCCATCTAATTGTTGTTGCATACGTATTTTTCAGCGCGCAAACGGCACGCGGTTTTCGCCGGCGTCAGTCGTCGGACGTCTGGCCGTCGACGATGGTCTCGCGGTTGCGATATTAATAATAATAACAATCATAATATTTCTATTATCACGCCGCGTTCGGTCCGGTTCACAACAATAACACTGTTATCAATAATCAATACGCAATAAAAATTACCGTCGATAAATCGCGCGCCGTCGTTATTTTCGTTGTCTTAGTCCGCGCGCGCGTGTCCACACGTGGGCGCAGGTGAGGTGTTGAAAAAAAAAAAATTCGTGCGTGTTCGTTTTCGAGGATTTTTTTTTTTACTTTTTCGAATATATATTTTTCGTTTTGTTTTTTTTTTCCCCTCGCCCGTAACATTTAACCTATCGAGACGTTTTTTTTTTTTTTTTTCAAAAACAAAACAAACGAAAAATACGTTTCTTTCATCATCCGAGCAATAAACCGACGTGTTTGTAGGGGAAGACTCGTCGTGCGATCTTGTGACCGAATCGTAAACTCGCATATTACATTCAGTGTCCGTGTATGCATTATAACAAAATTGTATAATATTATCGCCGTCAAGAGTGTTTGTGCAGCTTGAAAGTTTGTGATTTTTCGACGATGACCGAAAAGCCCAGAGTCGTGTCCGCGTGCATGAAACGGATCATCCGAGCCTGCAACGGACGAGCGCAACAGAAACCTTTGATCTCAGGTACCTATACAATACATAAAACGAACCAAAACAACGCACATTATTAATATTAGAATTATCGTTTTGTCAGAACAAATCAATAAAAACAATAAAAAATATTCGAGTGGACCTGTAGGAAATGGGTTGATACCGACGAAATTTTTCGGCGAAAAACGTGATGGTCCTATAGTGGTGCTTATTTCAAAGAGAACATAAAAAAATAAATACATTTTTCAGGACGCTTCCCAAATACCTACTCGAAGAAACATAAAAAAAAAAAAAAATTTGGTCGTGTTTAGTCGACTTTGGGATGATTAAAAAGTTGCCCGAGAGGGTAAAAATGTAAAATGTTACTATAGGGCATAGTCTAAAAATGTATAGAATCTTATTTCTAGAACATGGTATTATTGTTTATAAAACTATATAGGTACTGAAGACATTTATCGCAAATTTATGTTATTAATGTCCGTAGAGAAAAGTAATGTTACATACAAATTTTGAAATTTATTTGAACAATGATCGAAAATGCCGAAAAATGTCTCGTATGAAAACGATATAAAATCGAATTTCCCAATAAAAATAAGGTATGATAGTTATAGCGGAAATTCAATCGGATCAACCGTTTTATCGTCACAGCCACGCGTATTCGATTTGAGTTAAAAAAACAATCAGTATTACCTATACGTCTAGACAGAATATTCGTATGCGAATTAAATACATTCCATACTTTCGTACGCGGCCCCGTTATCGACTCGAAAGTTTTCCGGATTCGCCGCGTCGTTTTAACCCGAGTGTCAATAATAATAATAATAATATTGTTGTACGCCTAATTTTTGGTGATAATATCACATTGTTCTCAACACGCTCGCGGGAAAAATTCAAAAGCGATTTTCGGAGACCGACTAGGTAACGTCCGTTACCATAGTATTGTCAGTACGATTATTATAGCGGACGGTTTTTGTACGGACGGCAACGGATGATTCCCGAAGAATCGGCGGCCTTTGTAGTATATTTATGTAAATTAGTCCGTCTACTGTATATTCTCCGACTATCCCACCGCCCCGAAAACAGTATTAAAATAAGCAAATAAGCATTTTTCGGACGAAAATTAACCGCAATTTCAACACAAAATTAATAATTCAAAATCGCATAGTGCCTACGGTTTTTCTTACAGAAAAAAAAAAACAATTATTCGCAAATGCCCCCACTGAAATTTCATTAGCCTCCCCCGACAAATATGCGACCGTCAACCAAACGTTATATTATCAAATGAACAATAATACGCGTTTCTCCGTACATTTCGCATCGGAATTACAGACGAACAATAAAACTGAGCCGTAAAAAAAATATAATAATAATCAAATTAGATTCTGGATTCAACACTGCGCGTGAACATTATCGTGTCCTTGTTTCGTATTATATATTCACGAAATATTCGTTGTTCTCGTCGTATCGCTGCGAATATTTCTGTTTGGAAATTATTAGTATAATAATTGTTGTACAATCGTTTATCGGTTAATAGTAATAATTATGTTATTATGTGCCCGTCTTGACGTCATAACGCGCGAAACATTCACGGACATTTTAAAAACCAATTGTTTTTTAAATGTACATAAAAAAAAAAAAACAAACAAACAAACATATGAGGGTAATTTTATTTATGCCCGTACGCAACGATAAATCATCGCAAGCGAATAACCACGCTGAGCGAAGTTCGATTATCACACGTGTTTTGGGATGTCGTAATTCATAAGATTCCAGTAAAAAATAATACTTTAAACGTTTTTATAGGTATTAAAATTAAAAAAAAAAAAAAATCGTCGCTCTATACACGATATTTCGATATTAGTATACATGGATGCTTGGTACAAGAATAACTTGTGAACGTTGTATCGGGTTTCGAGCTTTTTAGAAACATATTACAATTTTATCCACACAATAAAACCGAATAAAAACTAAAAGAAAAGAAACGGACACACTTCGCACGATGGGTATTTTGCTAAGGAAAAACGATTCTGCATGAAGTTCGGTTAAAAATGTTTTAAAATTCTTATAGAAAAAATTATACATTGCACTAAATTTTTTTTTTTTTTTTTACCAAAAAGTACGACTTATAATGAACTTCTTGTTAAATTTTCAATCATTTCTGTTTGGTCAAACAAGTCTATCCACAGAGTATAACTACCGAATAAATATTACGTAAACAAATAGCAAAATTAAAATTACATAAATAAATAACTAAAAATAGCCAAAATATTTTGAAAATTTTACTACGTTTAGAAAAGGGACACATACATTTTCTGTCTGAATTTCAAGTCTTTACGGATATTTTCAAATGAATAACAACAAAAAACAAAATTGAAAATAATACTTTTCTTAAATTTTCCCGTTTTTTCCCAATAGTTTTGAAAACTACTTGGAAAAATCAAAGAATTACTTCACTTTAGTAATACCATAGGGAAATTTCTCTTCAGAAAAAGTGCTACACTTGAACATCGGAGCACGATTTCTTTTAAAATGTTTTATACAGTATAAGAACAATTAAAAATTAAACATCATTGAAAAATCCAATACACACCGCAATTCGCTCAGAATCTAATAAAACAACGAATAAATAAATGAACCGCTCAAAAACCGTTAAAATATATCATAAACTCAAAATTGATTAGATTAAATCAATTTCAATACCAAAATGCATATATATCGAGTATAGGTTGAGTTTTCTATTTGAAAATCAAAGAATTCGGTAACGGTTTCACTCTCAACCCCAAACATAAAAACTAAAAAAAAATCACAAAAAATGTGCTTGACATATTATAACTGGTATTGTCAACCCACGATTTATGCATGCGCATGCGGTGTACGAGCACAGGTCACCCAAATTCACGAGGCTCCTCTCCCCCTTTCTATAAACAAATAGAAAGTAAACATTGTACTTTTTAAAGATATTTTACGGTAGGCATACGATTAAGTATTTAGGAAAGAAATTATCACGGAACAGAATGTAAACATATTTTTCTAATTACATTAATAATCATTTTCTGCACTTAAACGTATAAAAACTTGAACGCGTTCTCCATCTTTAACACAACAAACACTGAACTCTTTAGCAATACTGACAATCAATATCATGATGATATTGCAAAACAGTTAAGTTTGATGATATTTTTGCCGTGCATGATTTTTTTTTCAATTAAAATTGGCCCCAAAATAAGTTTGGCACAGGTGCTCTATTTATCAGGCCCTGACTCACGTTTCTCGAATTTTACAAAAAGATTATAAATTTAAAAAATCCCACGTTATATCGATTGCCCTGTTTATTTTCTGTTTTTAAATTGGGTTGGTGCGAGTACGACGCGTATAATAATAATACAATTACTTAATATTATAATCTACAACATTCTGTATTCAATGCGGTCCATATAGAGTTTTTGGTTAGAAAAGAGCTGATACTGGGGATGGGAGCGGCCACTGTTGTAAGTGAGAAGTTGAGAAGCTATGATACATAATGTTGTTTCATTTATATCTGTAAGCAACGTTAAATCATTTGTTTGACGAAAGACGATTCCGAGCGCAGTTCGGTAATACATAATTTGAAGTGCCGTAATTTTGTTTGCGATTTTCGGTTAAATTTAATTTTAAAACGCTTATTAAAAAAAAAAAAGTCGTCCGATGATTTTGAAAATTTTACCACGTCTAGGTAAGTCCAATATAAGTGTTATTACCAAATTTCAAGTCTCTACGTGTATCTATAACCGAATTACAGCAAAAAAACTTCCAAAAATTTAAATTCCGTAAGAAAGTGAATCAAAAAGGCAACGAAAAATGGCATCTTGTGATTTTTCGACTAAATCATTTTTTCTGGTAGAAAACGTCGTCCGTGTTTTTATAAAATAATGACATCGTGAAATTGTACGTTTGTTTTCCAACGTTTTTTCTCACTACTTAAGTGCTTTTATTTAAAAAAACGGCGTCAAAACTCAAAAAAATTACCAGTTTAAAGTACCATCTAGACAACTTGAACTTTCAGAAAAGTTGCTACACGTAAATATCGGAGCAATTTTACTTGGAGAAAACGTGTTCACTGGCCAGAAGAAAGAAGAAAAAAAAAATAAACATCTTAGTAAAAACCAACAGCTCCCCTCGTTACGCTCGGAATCTAAAATGTCGTAGAACTCGAAAGTACATACCGTATTACGTAGGTGTACAAATAACATTATTATAATTTTTTAATTTGCCTATACGACGGAATAATAGGTAATTAAATTTGGAAAACAACTAACGGTGTATAATAATACAATATTTTTAATGAACGCGTTTAAAATCGTAGCACAATACGAGCAAATACGATGGGAACAAATAAACTATAAATAAATATTAATATGGAAAAGCGCCGTTTGAGACAGTATACTATATAATACGTTTCACGTGTTTGAGATCCTTTAATAACGGTTCGAGTATAAAAAAAAAAAAATTTAAAAAATGATAGTTCATTAGCACCTACACTTTATAACATAATTATAATCTAGACGGGCATCTATAATTTACAATGCGATCAACGGGTATTTACGCCCGGTGGCGTGACCACTGGATCGGCGATGTACGATTGCGTACGTTTGTCCCTTTTGGCGGCCCGATTGCGTACGTTTGTACGGCTGCGTACGATTTCTGTACCTGACCCTTGCGGTCGCGTACAAAAGTGAGCGCAACGTTGCCAACACGCACTAACTCAGTTTTCTTTACTATGTGTACACAATTGTTATGTGAACGTGTAACATGCGGACACCTATAGTGGCTAGTAAATATAGTAAATTGACTGTTAAGTAAAAATTCGTGCGTTAATTAATTAGAGGTAATTTTAAGTTGTATCGTATATCGAAATCATACGATTGGTGTACAGTCAATCGAAAACGATATATTATCATTTATAGTACGGTACGAGTGGAAATTATAAATTGCATTTGTAATTGCATATCCTATCGTTTTCATAAATAGAAATGGATGAAATATATACAGAAAACGTAAAATAGTATACACACACACACACACACACATGGCATGTATGTGTGTGTGTATATATACGCATACATACAATACACGCAATTACGGTACATGAACAGGGGGATAGAGCCTCCCCCGGTCCTCCCTGGTCACGCCGCTGTTTACACCCATTATAGTGATAGTGGCGTTTCGGACGTTCAGGAGGACATTAAACCGATTTCAGATTAAGGGTGTGCGACTCGTTGGAGCAGGCCGTTCTGAGGGGACGGAATCGGGGTAAAAAAACGGGGTAATTGCCACCCCCACCCACCACTCCGCCTCTCACTCTTGAGATTTCAATGCCTGCACGGCAATACGATAATGTACCAAGATCGAACACGTTTGCTTTTATATAGGTATATGAAAAAAAATATACGTTCATTTTGTTTAAAACAAAACGAAAAAAAACCTTTACCCCGTTCCTGGAAAAACGTCTGCGGACGACCTTGGACTCGTTAATATCGGCGCGGTTCTAAAATGAATACGAAAATTCCTCCGCGTCAAGACGCGTAAATAAATATTTATTTGCAATTACTTTGCAATTCGCGGACCGAATGTTTCGATAAAAATATCACAATAACCTCACATTGCGATTATGCCGAGTTTACGTACGCCGTGCAGCTATTTATTGTGTTCAATGCGCGCGCATTAACGATACGTGAATTAATTAAAACCAATAACTCGGTCAGAGTTCCGTGTACACGACATTACGGCGAACGATTTAAAATTATTAATTGTTATTATCGAAATATCTGAGAAAAAAAAAATACGCGGATAACAGCGTTTTTCAATATTTTTCGCGTAAAATGTTCTTTCTTTTTTCTTTTCTTTTTTTTTTCATGTAACCCTATCGCGATTTTATTTCTATCGCCGGGCACGTTGCACGGCCGGAAATCGTCGAAAAGTCCGCGCTACAGTCTTCCAACCGTTCCCGTAAAACCGTACGGGGCGGTCATCCAAACGGTAACGGCCGGCCGACGGGCGTCGCGTGCACGCGGGGCGTACCTCGCAGCGCATCAAAACGCAGAGCGTTTCGACTAAAACCCCACCGGCTCGTGGGGTTCTCCATAGTCGCCGTGTGAAAATCGTAAAATCGGTTTCGCGTTCGGATAACCGCCGCAAAATATTTATAGTATTTCGTAACGCTGTGTCGGCGGCGTCTCGCGCCGGTCGGCATGTGCGAGTGTAACAGTGTTCGCGATTCAGCGCGTTACTTTTCGATTTTCGACGTGGCAAAAAGCCGGGTTGATTTTTTGTTTTTGTTTTTTTTTTTTCCCGGAGGGTGAAGTGGGCGGGCCACGGTCCAAACGTGAAATTTATCACCGACTACCAACGATTGTCCGGGGGGGGAGGGGGATGGGGAAAACGTGATGGGTAAAATACCAAAGGACCCCCTCCCCGAACCCCTCTGGCAGCGTGCCTTTACGAGATTTCGCCGGTAATAATCATACGCAACCCGCGAGTTTTCAAAAACATTAACGCTGAAAAGCGCACAACGTTCGATTTCGTCACGGAATCATAACGTCGCGGTACTCGCGCCTAAGGGTTTACCCGCATATATTGTGTTATCAAAATCGCATCCGTTCGGTTTTACAATGTCATTTTCGTAAAACGAACAGTCAACGAAAGAATATTGTTAATCATTTTGTAGCGTGCTATAGAAACTGTAGACATCGATTTCGGACACGTCCGCGCTTCGGCAAAGCGGCGACTACGACGTGACGCGGCGCATGCCTTTTCTTTGTTTCGGCCGTAACGGTCGTATTCGCCCGAGTAATGAACGCGACCGATAAGGACACAAACTCGCAGTAATCGATATTATTTGCCGTACAGTTTTTAATTCGATTACCATTACATTTGTGTACGTTCAATAACGTTTTAACCGCTCGGCCAGCCGACGCTCGTAGGCGCGACTGTAATTCGTCATTATCATCATTATTATTATTATAAATATTAACAAACGCGGTCGAAAACACGCGTACGAAATATGTAAAAACCGGACCGTGTAACATTGTTGACATTGTACGGACAGCAATTAACACAGTAATTTAAAAATTATATTTTATCTGTTTAAACGCGGTTCGAAAATCATTATATTTTTTTTTTTTTTAGAATTTTTTTTTTTTTTTTACGTATAATATTTATTTTTTTTTATTCCATACGATTGCGCTCGTAGCGACAATATCAATTTAATCCAATACAATAATTATTATAATCTCTCTGTCTCTTTGTTCTCCAGTGTTTTATACGCTATCGCGACCCGTTGCCCGCGACACGCGCCCGCATGCAGACTTTCGTCTGTGTATCACCACGCCATTAACCCGAGCTAATGCCGATCTCCGTCTCGTGTTCCGATTTTTTTATTACATTCTTCCTGACTTGGTCAATTTGTTCAATTTCGTTTTGGCCAATCCGGCGGTCGTCTGCCATTGGGTTTCCGTTCCGGCGCCCGTTATCTCCACACGCGCAGACCGGCCCGCGCGGTTCTGCCGCACCTTATAGTTCTATAATAATTGCTATCCTATATCCGGTTTTCTGTACAACTGCCGTGTATTCCAATAGATATTAGTAGTGATTGATTTGCGCATCCTTCACGTACGCTTCCTCCGTCCAATCGAAATTCAAGACTTTTTACGTACTCTGCGTAAAACGTATGATTTTACAATTGTATTACCTGTTAACTACAGAGACATTTCCCCGCAATTTCGCAACACCTATATTTACGTCGCGAATTTCGCCTTTCGAGTATAATTCACTATGCCGAATACCTGCCCGGCAATTTCTTTTTGAAATGCATAACTACCTCCCCTCCAGGGAAGGTTAATCCCGATTCCGCCACTAATTCAATTGTCGCTACAATAGATAAATATTATACACTTCCTTTTTCACTCTGAGCGTTTTGTACAACATTCTGTAAAACACTGTACAATCACGATTAAATCAAACACGCGCGTGACGTCGCCAATCCGTTTTCCCCGGACTTGGCGGAAACGACAAATGAATATAACATCGTAATATTATCCTGCGAATCCCGTGATAAATAGTGGTTCTTCCGAGTCTGGACAACAATTTCTACTCTGCCCGTTTATTTAATCACGACCATATAAATATCGACCTTGTCCTTCGACGCATGCGCACAACAATATTATCAAGTTCTATTGTGTACTCTACACGCTTAATTTATACTAGACAACATTTATTATTATTGTTATTATTAAAGTCCTGTTGCTGCAGATGTGGAAGTAGGTAATTTCCTGGACGGTCGCATACCCATAACTACCTGTGTTTGACTATCGCAACTCATGACGTATGGGTAAATGATCGGCGTACTGCTGCAGTTGGCTGCTGTGTACGACGTGCGCCGAACGTAATTTTACGCTATTAATCTTTGTTCGGATTACGGGGGGGAAAAAAAAAAAAAAAAAAAAACCCTATAAACGGACTTGCGAAAATACAACTAGGATCGCCGCATAAAATTCGGTTTTACTCGTGTATATTATTATTTATTTCCCACGATTAATACGTTAATAATGCGTATGAAATAATTACTATTGTGTACCTACTTGTGCGTGCAACATTAACATAAAGACGCGTCTTTGTTTTCAAATACAAAAATATAATATTATAATAAACGCTCGTCCATAGTAATAATAAAAAAAAATGTGTTTTTTCCGTCTTGTATATAACAAAAAAAAAAAAAAAATAAATAAAACACGGGTTGAAAGTACGATAATGTGTACATGCGGTTCAAGATTTAATACTGGATAATTTGGATGTTATCTATAATTTTAAAATTGTACATTATTTTTAAGTTCTCGTGTTGCTTGTAATTACAATTATTGTGTCATTGCGATGACTCGCATTCGATTTGTGTATGATTAATGCGGACATAAAGGTAATTGGGAAGGTTAAAAAAAAACAAACAAAATCATTTCAAATGATATTATTAAATTACACGACATAAACTGCTTACGTTGCAAACGAACTGGATTTAGACATTTGTATTTCAATTTTATTTCACTGGCCCGTCAGGACGTAAGTATAATATAAAACGATTTGAAAAAAAATGTGTAATTTATGAAAAAATTATTTGCATCAGCCGGGAATCGAACCCGGGCCGCCCGCGTGGCAGGCGAGCATTCTACCACTGAACCACTGATGCTGGTATAATACTTTAGGAAAATGATTGTATTAAATATTCTTTACTTCGATAAAATAGCGTATTAAGAAAAACTCGAAATATACAAGTCTGAAATGCTCAAACATGGAATATGAAAAACTGAAATCCAGAGTTTACGGACATCAAAATCTCGAATGTGTACAAATCTGGAAACCTGTTCCGAGTAAACTCCTGTTACTAAGGCACATGGAAGTTAACGGTTATAACGAGTCGGACTTGTTCACAGACATTAAATAATTAGGACACACCAAAGTTCCTAAGTTAAATCCGTGTGCAGAATTGTATTTTAAACGTGCAAATTTGGTTTCTGATAAATGATAAAAAATAAATTACGTGAGACGTTGGTATAGGCCATAGGGCATAATAAACACTGTTGTGTCTCGTAAGCAGGGGCATAATTAAGGGGCGGAGACACGGGAGACAGATCCCCCCATGAGCGGTATTTATATAGTACATTGTTATTTTATACAAACTGGAAGTTCAAATGCATTTGAAATGCATACATTTTCAAAACTATTATAGAATTGAACAATTATACATGTTTAATTGTATTGGTAGGTACCAAAATATTCATAGTTTATTATTATACTAGCTAAGCGATATTCTTAATAGTTTTTGTCAAAATAAATGGTAAACTTTACTTTAAGCTTTGCATACTACGCGTTCGAACGTGATTGGGACGTTGCGATTTTGAAAACGCAAAACGATGCCATTTAATAGAAAACTTCCGGACCACGGTGATGAGTTATTAAATGTTGGTAAGGGGTTGTGTGGGACTAACCTCCCACGTGATTGCCATGAAGATAAATTTTGATATCCCTCCCCATTAAAGCATTCTCGATTACGCCACTGCTCGTATGGATATGGATTTCAGAAAGTTTTCTCATTGTGCTTATTTGACAGAAATAAAACGTACATAATATGAATACTGAGGCACCGTTTTTCACTTTTAGCACGGGTACTTATGTCAGTTGGTCAGCATCATTTTAGTATTTTAAGTATATATATAGGTATACGCATAATTTCGTTCTCGTAAGCATTTGAAGTTACACGATAAAAATTTATTCGAGTACAATGTTCAATTAAAAATAAAAATACACAATACACAACACACAAAAACGGCGTTTAACCGAGATCCGCTCAGCATCGTATTTTTTTCTTTTTCATCGACTTTTGCCGTTAGTACAGTGACTATTGCACTGTATTGTAGAGTGCGTTTCTCTCAAAGACCCTCGAAATGAAGCCCGGGGAGGGGGGGGGTATGCAATCTTTTGTACTCATGGCGTTGTTATTAAATATGTACCGTCACATTTCTTATTTCTTATTTTTTTTTTATTTCGGAAACAGTATAATTTCGTCTAATATGTTATTTATTATTGTGTTATTATAGTAATCGATTACTGATTGTTTTGCCAAGACTATTGCTCAAACACAAAATAGTCGTGGAGAGGGGGTTCGAGTTTATAGCGACAGAGTTCTGTTGCTCGCGTATGTGTTTTCGTTTTCTTATTGTTAAATACTATTCAATTAGTTATATCTATTACTCTTGTTGAAAAAAACTATTCAATCGTGATGTTGTTATACACTGTTGCAAATACAATAATAATTTTGTTGTTGGTGAACGACGGTGAAAAGGTTAAACGGTTTAATTCGTTAATCGCCCGGAACCCTATTCTGAAAATATAAAAATGATACGGAATTCGGTCGATGCAATCCGCAGTTGGGCGTCACGCATTTCAAACGGTCCGGATAAGTGTATTGGTTTATACTGAAAACGTCTATGTTTATATAATAATTTTATCACAACAGAATAACGTTCAATAATTCGACCGAAAGGCACGCACTGTGTGTCAACGCTGTGCAACATGACGCGACAAAACGTTATGATAATATGCGACGGGATGTGATCGTCGTGCGATGAGTATACAAATAAGGTACGTTTGGAATCGTTTTCTCCCTGCCCCGCCTCCTCCTCCCTCCCCGTCTAACTGGGGGAAAAAAGAAAAAAAAAAGCGCGATTTCTCGTGTTGTTACATCGCGGGCGCCGCCGGACGCGTGAAATTATAGTATTGCGACCGCCGTTTACAGCAGTAATACAATTCGCGGTGTTGCTGTTGTTGTAATTATTATTATTATTATTATTATTAGGTATTACGATCCCGACTGCGCGGCGTTCCGCGGTGTTCCACGGTCGGCCAATTCGTGAAGAGGAAAAAAATAAAACAACACGACCAAACATCATACGTGTTTTATAACCGGGCGGTCGCGGTAACGCGACACCGCGTTGTTGTGCGCCCGAAACACACGTGTAGATGTACGCGGCGGCTGTTTCTGACGTCGGACGTTCGCCACCCGTCCGTAATTAGCCGCGATCAAACAATTATCATACAGGCAGGTACCCACCGGTATTGCGTAGACGCGAAACTGACGCGTTTAAGGTGTGGGTAACACTGCAGCGATAACGTTGTTACGACAATCCGACTATTGGTACGGGTACGATAATTATAACGCGTCGAGGATCCAGCGAAATAGGCCCCGGAAAAACGCGCGGTAATTTTATCGATAATGGCGGGCGTCCGCCGTAATTGGGATAGTGCGTGTACAGTCGAATATCGCGATTTTTTTTTTTTTTTTTAGATTCCGGGCAGAAGCTTATGGTTTTACAAAGGTGTATTTTTTTTTTCATCTGTGCGCAACTTTTCTACCAGAAATCTTGCTCCGATTTACAATGACGGCAATTTTTCTAAGAGGAAATCGGACTAGGGGAGGTACTTTATAGACGCAATTTTTCGACAACCCCAGGAGTTTTCCCAATAAATTTGAAAAACCGGGGAAAACACGGAGGAAAACGGGAAACTGTACGAAATGTAGGTTATTAGTTGAAAAAGAAAAATATTACAGCCATTTTTTTCCTGTAAACAACTTTTCTACCAACGGTTTTGCTCCGATTTACAGTGATAACAGTTTTTCTAAAAGGAAATCTCACTTGAGGGGTACCCTAAAAAGAGCATTGCTCGATTTTCCCAGAAATTTTCCCAACAAATGGGAAAAATCAGGAAAAAAACATGGGAAAACCGTAGGAAAACTGTAGGAAAACCGGAAAACAGGTACTAAAGAAATTATCAATGAAAATATAAATGCCTATGTAATTTTTTTACCATAATATGGCTTATATTATATTGTTGAAAAAGCAACACTATCAACTGAACTCCACTCAGAATCGATATTTCGTTGTAGCAATGGTTTATCGTTGCTTACAGATTAAATGTATTCAATTGCTCCTGCACTATCTTCCTAATTTTTCATCTACAACATGCAGTGGCTGCAGCCACGTGCGAAGTACGTCCGTCTTTTTAAAAATTGCATTTACAATATTAATTGTTTTACGAAAGTTTCGCCGTACGGTGTGTCTGTAAAAAACTTTTCCATTATGGATTTCGCTTCAATTAATCGTAACTTAATGGTGATTTCCGGGGTGGTGATCGTCTTTTGATTTTCGTCTTGTGACTTTATTTTTGAAAAAAATTGTCAAAAAATGCCCTAACGGTTTCTGTAAATTTCGACTTTATCGGAGCAAGTTCTAATATATTCTGTGTGATTTTTCCTTTTTTTTTTTGACCGTAAACAACTTTTTACCAGAAATCAAGCTCCAATCAAAAAATTACGACACCTTTTTTGTTGCATTTAGAATTTAGCGGAATTTACATGAGGTTTCGCAGAATATTTTAATTAGATTTTTCGGTACTTGGTACAATTTTCAAAACATTCTCGCTATTTTTGAGCTATTTATAGGCATTCGACGTTTCCTAAATTATTTAATTGTTATTTGATAAATATGATGATATGGATACACAAATGTTTTACTCGACAAAAATCATAAAAAAATCACTAACAGTTTGTATAATACTATTCGATTTATATTTACGTAAATTATATATTGTTTTAGCCCCGTAAAAAGGCTTGATAAAAGTTTCATCACAAGTTGTATTTAATAGTAAAACAAATTAGTTATTTTAAAAAATTCGTGTTTATACGACGATTCCCGAGAAAATTATACTCGATTATTATTTTACTAGTACATTAAATACTTTGTATAAAATGTGTATATTAATATAAAAATGTCGCGTAAATGTAAGAAAAAAAAGAAGGTGTATGCATCAGCCGGGAATCGAACCCGGGCCGCCCGCGTGGCAGGCGAGCATTCTACCACTGAACCACTGATGCTTATATTAAGGTCGTTGAATTTTGATTCTCTCAAATTGCAAGACTAAAAAATTAAAAAGATTAATAAATACGAGCTAAATAATAAAATAATAAAGTAAAAACAAAATTATTAAAATAAGAGCTGTTCCGGGAACTCGAAAAAAGTTTAAAAAACATATCGAAGTTGTTTATTTTTTTACCAGAATGATTCCGTAAAATTGTGCGTGGCATTTAAGTAAAATTTAGGGCAAACTTTATTCAAAATATCGCGATCTTTCGTATAGAATAGGTATGGGTATGACATTTTGTACTTCTTCTCATTCTATTTCCCCTTCTTCTACTTCTCATAGAACAAACGAGTGTCATTTGATCAAGAAAGAATATTAGATTTGAACCGATTAGTCTATCCGTGTGTTATTTATTTAAAAATGTTCGTCATCTATCGTTTTCAATCCGACTGAACGCCGTGTATATCTTATCAATATTATTTGTTTGTTTATATTCTTATGTTTGTTGGTTGTCCATAGGACACATCGAGAGACAATTATAATGGTTATTTTCATTTGTTATTTTGGTTTTAAAGTGTATACTTTTGATAAGAAATATACTAGACATACCATCAAATGTGTAGGTGTCGCATCTACACAATAGTGTAAAATTTATGTAAAAAAGTGTACACTTTATGGTAAAACGAACAACGCAATTGACTATTTAAGCTAAACTGCCTCCTATGAGCTAAATACATTTCACCTCTCAATGAATATCACGATGGAATTATAGAATTTATAGATTTATAAAATTATAGAACAACTAGAAAGAGTCTAGTATACGGCTGTTGGTTTACTATGTTGATGCACAACAGTTTTTCGCCTCACAAACGTACAACAATTTGTTGATTCAGAAATATTGTTCCATACCCCCTATCCCTGCTGTTAAATGCACTCTTGTCCGTGGTAACTTTAAAAAAGTATCAAAAATTATCTGCATCAGCCGGGAATCGTATCCGGCCGCCCGCGTGGCAGGCGAGCATTCTACCACTGAACCACTGATGCTTTGATACGTATGCGCTGTATCTGTAATGCAATTTATAAGCAATGTTCGTATTTTAATCGTGCAGGTAACAATAAATTGCCGCAAAAAAAAAAAAAAATAAAAAAAATACCGAACATTTTCGAAGCAATACAAATTGAATAAATCAACATTACTTTATATAATCAACGCAGGGTTAAGCCATCCGTGAGCCCTAGGCACTGATTGAAAAAAGTTTCTTTTATATTATCGTAGGTTGGCAAATTTCGGGGGCTCACACGCGTGCCAGGGGCGCTGGTGATTGCCAATACTCGTATTTGGTAAACGAATTATGGTTGATTGATTGCGATGCGTGCGTCACCTGCGGTGAAAAACTGATAAAGCTGATAATATTAAAATGATAGCATTGATTAAACAATTACTATACAAATTGTTTCGTAATTTCATAAAAATGCGTTAGATATGAATAAAAAAAAAATTATCTATACGTACGGTGTAAATGTAAATTGACCTATCAACGAGATCGGTGTGTGTTACGATATTTTTAAAAATCGGTTTTTAAACGTAAATTGATAAAACTCAATGTTGTTGAGGTACTTACATATTTTATGCATTTAATGTGCTCACATTAAGTACTGCGAAAATTGATATTATTAGGTACTAAACATGCAAATACACCGATCTAAATGAACTCTATTCAAATTAATTTTCCCCTTCCCCGAATATTTATTATTATTATTATTTTTTTTTTTCGAAACACACCGATATCATTGATATCGTTCAATTTACTTAATTTAAAATTAAAATTAAATTGTTATTGTGATAAGGTGTGATTGGGTTCATATTTTCCAAAAAACATAATTACTAGGTCTACAGTCATAGCACTGTTCCGGTGGCAAATGTATATTTAACAATTTTTTATTTTCTAACATGTGGGCGAAAAAATATTCCGCATCGTAGCGTTTTAATGCGTGTAGTTACGCCGCTGAATGCGTATACAATTTATGATAACATAATAAGACACTAAACGTCAGTCGCAAATTCACGATGTACCTAACACAACTTTGAAGCCTTTGAAGACATTTTTGCAAGGTGCAAGACGACGCTTTTTTTTTCTCATCATTACTTCAAATATAACGCTCAAAAGTCAAAGTATCATTTAGAAATAATGAACATTTAAACATTTTTAAATGACCAACATTTTTTCGAGACATTTTTATCGTTTTTTTTTTTTTTGAAAAACGAAATATTTAATAATTTCCATCAAATGTTTGGAAAACTAATAATATAAATACGAATTAATTAATTATTAACGATAATTTATTTTTTTGGAGTTCCGATATTAATACATGACACTATAATTGTCGCGGATTCGTCTTTAATGTTTAATTGTAATTTAGGAGTATAAAAAGATATCCATTATTATTTATTCAAGAAGAAAAAAAAATGTAAAAAATTTTCTGCATCAGCCGGGAATCGAACCCGGGCCGCCCGCGTGGCAGGCGAGCATTCTACCACTGAACCACTGATGCTTATATTTATATCAGAGCATTTTATTGTACTTAAAATATTTATTGCCAAATGATGAAAAATTTAATCAATCGTCTTTATAATAAATTATTTAATTAATATGTACATTTGAATACCTAAGCAAAACTGGAGACTTATTTTTCTTCTTATCGAAAGTAAATCATTGTACGGTCTAAAAATACCTACACAATATAATAGAAAATATGTATAGGTATATTCTATTAAATCTTTGATCCCAGGGAAGATGAGCGCAGACCTGACGAGAAGGAGGGGCCGCCGGGGGTGTAGGATGTAGCCCTAGGGCCCGATCATAGCAACTAGATCCAACCTTTTACTTAATTTTTACATTAACATAAAAATCATTTGTAATGTAATTCAATTTCATAATATTCAACTTTAAAAAATCAATACATATTATATTAAAAAATAAATAATTAAATGTTAATAATATAATAATTATTTAGTATCACATTATGTGACGTGTTAGTAACAATATGATTTTTGCTTTTAAACACATTATACCTCAACCTTAAACCTGCTTCTTGTTGTACATATTTCGAAGGAAGGCGTACAATCCTCTTTCTCGGAAATTATTATAAACAAAACCCTTTTTGAAAAAAAATCCTAAACGCGCTACTGGTTATACCTGTACCCACCATTATATTATAGATAGTAGGTCTATCAATTTACGTTCCCTGTTAGATTGTGAATTCCATTCGGTTTTAACTTTTTTTTTTTTCACAACGATATTTTTAAATTTGCACAGTTTTTCAAATTTAAGTTTTAACTCCGTTCCGCGTGCCTTTCAATTGAGCTTACTAATTAATAATTGTTCATTGTACATTAGGTATCTACTCGACACTCGTTTCGTTGATATTAATAAATTATATGACATCATTTTAAAACGTGCATACTGTGTATATTAAAGTGGTATTTAAATTATTTATGTGGTTCGTTTATGTAGGTCAGTTGCTGGGAATCTCAATGTCCTTATACTTACCTTTTTAAGACTATTTTTATAACCGCTTTGTATTAAACAACGCGTTATTGAATACCGACGACAGTAACGAATTTAAGGTGAACTTTAACTTTGAACTTGGCTTTTAATCTATGATTTCTTTAACGCCGTGCAGAGTTTTCCCGAACATAGAGACTGTCACACATAGGTGGCGCTAGGATATTTTTTAGGGGAGTGCATAGTATACACGCTGACTTCTAAATAATGTTTAAATTATTCTAGTTAAATTTTTTTACAAAAAAAACTTATAATTGATTTACATACGAGTTTGAGTATCAATGAAGATAAAACTATAGTTTAAAAGACAGTCATGAAACAGGTTATTTAAGTACTATAGAAACCAATTACCAGATGACAAACAAAAATAATGTGCCAAAAATCCTTCATAAGTTGACTACTGGTGCTAATAAATTAGATCGGACTTTGATCGGACTACTGAAAGATTATTACCTGGCTGTGGTGGACGTAATCAAGATAGGTGCAACTCGTCCAACAATAACATACAATATTAAACATTCTTCAGTACTCTGAGACGAGCCAAGATCTTGAATAGAGCCAGTATGGGTGATGACCGATTTTCTGGATTATGGATTCTAGATTCATCGATTATATATATTGAGTATATGAGTGTACATAGAAAAAGACTTGAAGAGGATACCAAATTCATTGAAAATGCGATTGAGGAATTTGGAAAAAATTAAATAACGACAGCATGATGGTTGATGGATGGTTGACCGACTCTGTTAACTCTATTGAGTTCTACTCCTCAGGGGTATTTTTTTTCAACTCAATAAATAGCAAATTAATTTTTAGTTTCATTTTTTTGGGGGGGGGAGAGATACTGAATTTATACTCAAAATTATCGAATGCCCTTCCTACCGTAATTTACATTGATCATCCTAATTTTCAAAAAAAATTACACACTCTAGGTTTAATCATTCACTACAATTGACTATAATTTCAATTTTACAAAAACAAAATTTTCTCTTATAAGATTTAATAAGTTAATCGAATTAACAAATTAACTTACGTATAACTAATTAATAAAACAATTCAATTTGAACGTGCTCAATTTGTGTTCGATTAATATAATTTAACTAAGTTAATATATTGTCCTTTAATTTGCCTTATTGAAAACATACAGAAAAGATTATAAATCAATGTTGTAAAATATATGTACAAATTAAAATACCAGGAAACTGATTGAAAAATACAATAGTTTATATTATACTTGGAGGTTTTCTGTATTCAAATTAATTGACTCGTAGTGATAAAACTGTTTTGGTACTAATTAGGCATTTGAATACGTGTATATATAAATTGATTAGAATAAAATTAATAGTATACGTGCTATTATGTTATATTGTTTAAATATTTACAATTATGAACGGTTTTTCGATAAGAAAACGTTTAGGTATTTTACAATATGAATCATAGGTAATCCATAACATTGACGTGAATTGGAATTTTGTGTACCACGTTCTTTAAATATTGATGCCCTTAATCATTTTTAAACCGTCTATAATACAGTGCGAAGTGTAGTGTGTATAGGAAAGGCGTTATTTTATTTTTCAATATATAAACTATTGATAACATTATTATTACTCTGAAACTTAATTCGTGTGGTAATAACAAAACTACGCGCAGTAATAAAATTAATATCGATTTTTATGTTACTTTTATTTTTTTCGATACAACTAATAACAATTGCTCGTAACGTATTATAATATTAATAGCTACAGCAAAGTAAAAAAAAAAAAATATTTTAAATAGGTGCAATTATCAAAATAAGTAATATTGATATGAACGATAAATAATGTCCTATCTATAGGAATCGTTTTTATAGTAAATATAATTTGTATAAATATTTTTCATTTCTATATTGATAAAATAAGAACTGTTGATCGAATACGTTTTACTAAATACCATAAAATAATTGCACTGTTATAAATTGTTGAAACAATCTTCAATCGGTCACTACAAACAAACGATAACATATTTAATAGCATACTGATGTACCCATGTTTTATATTAATACGATATAAATAATTTATTGTGGTTGAGTATGCAATTTTGATTTTGAAAAATCCGGACGTAATTCGCACCGCGGGTAGGTCTACTGTTGTAGGAAACTGGGAAGTTGACAAGGAATAGGATATAGGGTAATTTTTAGGTGGTATAGGTACTATAAACAACGATAAATTATTGCAATCGAAAAATGGTTATGCGTAACCCGCTAAACTAGTAAGTATAATATTATAGTCGTGTTTCATTTCTCTTGTAGCTGTACTAACCAATAAAAATACAACAAAACTAAACAAAAATACAACCGTAATTTGTCGTTACAAACCAATAAACGCCAGTATTTTTTTAATTTTTAGAAAACTGTTGGAAATCTAAAAAATTGTTCAGAAAAATATCAATAGGGCAAATTTCGCTTCTTTAAAGTAGCTACTTATCTAATGCATGATCGAATCGGACATTTTTTTCCTATAATCGAAAAAGTGTTTTCCGAGAAATAAAACACAAACAAACAGATTTTTCTCTTCGCTCAGAATTTAAAACAAGTATCCCACATTAATGTAATATATAATATCCAAGAGAGCGTTACTATAGGAGAGCGTTTATTGAAATTAATAAACTAAAAAAAAAAGTGCATAGCGCAATTTTGTGTTTTAATGATATATTTTGTTGAATTTATATATTTTGCTTTCGACACATCATCGTGTAAATTGTATGATGTGTAAATTGCAATTATAGTTAATTAATTATTTATTATATTTGTTTAATTATTTTAATTACTGTACAGCTTAACCTTGTATGCTGCAGTGTTTTCGAAATCGAAATTAAATATTGCGCATCTGTTTGTTCTCGATAAGAAAGAAAAAAACAAAAGTCGATTGCGTTAAATCAGTTAATTCCGAAAAAAAAAAAAAATTATTGCACGAGTGCGTATACAGCCGCTGTATGTCGTCGGATATCGTGTTACTTTTTACTCAGGTAGAGCTATAGAAGTATACATCGTCGTGTAAAAAATACATTATATTTTGTCAAATTTACTTGATTTCACACATTACCGAATTTTACATTTATTATTATAATTGTTGTAAAACTCTACTGTCTAAATCGACACATAAATTCGAGATTATCTAAATATTATGCGAATAAATTTCCAAATAAAATATTTTAGTAGGTGATAAATTGTTACATAAATATTCCAATTATTATTGTTGATTTTTAAATTGAATCCATTATTTTTCGATTACCGTCAATCGATTTAAATTTAATTGACAAATTTTATCTGTAAGAAATTTTAAGTAAATTGTATACATTAACATTTGTATGTTTGTTTACGTTTGTTAGCATTTAAATTTGTTTAATTATAGTATAGTATTATATCAATAATTGTTCAAGAGTCTTTTAAATGGGGTTTTTTTTTTTTAGATTTGTCCAAGTTTGAATATGTGTTATTGTAGTCCAATTTACATTCTGTATAGTTTCAATAGTTTATAACCGTCAAACTCAATTATTTCGATTAACTATAATACAAATATTCGAAAATAGTGTAACTTTTTGATTGCGGTCAAAATATATTTTTATAGTTTTATGCACACAGTACAGTCTAGAACTTACATTTATGTGTGGCCATCACAGTGTGTATGTCATGATCTACTGCATGTACCTAGGTACATATATCGGTCCTATGTAGGTATAGTATACGCAGGTATGACGCGGTGTAACGTCATGGTGTCAAATATAATATGGCAAAATGATGTTAGGTATATACTGCTACGCATTGTCCCATTTTCAAGTTTTTGCATGTGTCGCGGGAAATATTATACGTATATTATAATATACAATATATCCACCTATTCGACCTCGTCCAAACATCGTCTATGCCTATGTAGTTTGACGGCAACGGTACACGCCCGCAGGCGATAGAGTACCCGAGCATTAGGTACCTATAGGTTTATAATACAACAATATTGTATATTATATAGGCATACATATAGTAAACATCATAATATAGAAAGAGAGAAAAAAAAAACAACGCTACAATCGTATATAATAGCAGTGTGGTAAATTACGTTTCAGAGTACATATTCGACACGTCATGATGTATGACCCGACGAGGTCGCTGCAAAACTTCTCGCTTGGCTCTTTCTTTACGCGCTCGAAAAAAAGAACACAGCGCATCCGAACAGTCCGAGGACAGTGCGTTATTATATTATGTTGATTGACCATCAGGCCTATATATTATACAAGACACCATCGGACCCTGGACGTACGTGATCTACGATGGTCCACGTTATTTTTGCTGGTCCTATATATAGTATATACTCAGGGTTAAACAATGTCTTAAATACGTATCTTAGGTACAGTCTTGTATCGCGACAGTTCTGAAAATTAATAATATCTAGATTCTCACTTTTAAGTATCTTGCCCGTCCCTGTGTATATATTAATTCATTAGGATACTATAGTATATTATAGCAAATAGTAGTTCGACGAGCTCTATTGAATCATACCAAGCTGTCTCAGATCAACAGAGATACATAAACTTCATACTTAAAGTGAAATAGCAACTTCATACGCATGTCAATAACAAACGAAATTAAAAAATATAACCAGGATGCAAAACATTCACTTCACGAGTACACTGCTGCTGCGCCTCAAAACAAGACGAAGTTTCAGACATCGTTCAGACATCACCTGATTGTTATCAGGCGATAACACACACACAAGAAAGACAGAAAGAAAGAAATGAAATATATTATGAACTATAATGAATAGATATAAACACGAGTAATAGTAAGTATACTAAGACAAAACACGAAAAACTAAGGAGAAATTAGACAAATAGAAAAAAAGAATATTATGATTTGTTCGTACGTAAACGTATGTAAGACAAAAAACATTTACAAAGATGCCCGATTATGCGGATTCAGTATGAATGGACGGACCTGTTTTCTAAGCCTAATGATGCGGTTACATGAAGTGATCAATTAGTGGACCAAAAGAGGGATTTAAGCTGACTGACACGAAACAAACAAACATATACTAGCTGAATTATCCAGAATTTCCGGATAATTATCCGGACTCAATCCATTGTTTAAAGTCAATATAAGAAATACAATTTAATTTGTCTCCCCGTTTCCTTGATAACTAAATTAAACAAAATAGACAAATTGTGACTGTATGTATGCCTTTTCAATATTATTAACATATTTTCATACAACAATACGATTTTCAATGAACCTGTTCTCAAACAGACCTGTCTAGAAGAGTGCGAGAAGTGCACATTCAGCGGGTGCTATAGTCACGGGAGAGCCAAATAGAAACCAAAGAGGCGCCATTAACTATAAATAAAATTTGAAACCATATCCATATAAAGTCATATGTTTACATATTCTCACTCCGTTCGGAATTTGTACATACGTTTAAGAGATTTTAACAAATGCCTGCATTTGTCCACTGGTTCGAAAGTCAACAGTCGCAGTCTTATCATCAGTTATAATAACACGCGTATAATATGATAATAGTACTATAATGCATCACAGTCTACTTGGCAGTGGCGAGTGCGCCCGTCGCAATTAGCGCATAAAAATGACTTGTAGGCTATTAATATATAATGTGGAGCTAATAAATTGGGCCGTCATCTTTTACGTTTAAATACCGCGTTTCGTTCCCAGTTTGCGTTTTTATATTTTATAATCGACGTGTACCAGTATGATATTATATTCCGCGATAACGATGGGCTGTGGAAACGTGCTAGAGCAAATAATATACCTGTCGAATGTCTAGCTACATAAACATTATAAATTGTATACATAGTGTGTGAGCGTGTCGTAAAGATCTGAACTAATTATTATGTATAAAATTGTAAAAACTTTATTTCCTTCCCCTCCCCCGTCTTAAAATTAAAATTTAACGACAGTGTATCAAATCATGACCATCACTATTACGGACGCGAGTCAGTATTTTGATGGTTTTTTTTTCTAATGTACAATTGCATTTATATAGTCATTTAAACCGACGATAAAAAATTGTCTTTGACTTCCAAATAGGAAAAATATGTTGAATTTATCTAATTACCATAATATTATATGATCGTGTTAAATTTAAGCTCGAAAATTGCGAGTTTAAAAAAAATATAAATTTGCTTTCAAAGCCGTCGTCAGTATAAATATTGTCGGTAAGATTCAAAATAATATATTCCATATATCAATAAATATTAAAGTTCAAACTCCGTGTTAATTTGATAATCTATGCAAGTTCTAACAAATTCCATTTTCGGAAATGTTTCTCGTTCAAAATTTTCGTAAGTTTGAGTCCTATAGGAGTAAACATTTTGTTTACATGTAATACTTTAATAATATATCGTAAAGGGGCTCAAAAGTCCTATTTCTAGCGGCTCCGTCTCGTCAAATATACCATTCCAGCACTTCGAAAAGGGTGAACGCAAAATAATTTATTTTGAATGAAATTGTTCGTAGGTATAGATACTAAAATTACAAATATATAAAAACAAATACTTTGTGTCAATCACATTGTGCATATTAATTGCATATAAACCGTTCTTCAGTTATCAACTTTGTACGTATAATTAATAATAATAATATTATGTATTCGTGTTGCTATTACTATTATTATTATTCGAATTAACGTCATTGCAGCACAATATAGAACACATGTGCGTATACGCATGCAATATAATACACGATTCAAGGATAACTTTTATAGTGCAGATATGCGTCCGGACTCCGGATACGGTACGTAACCAGATAGGTCAGTGTATTATTATAATAATGTTTTTATACGGTATAGGCATAGCTGGTAAGAAATGTGCACTGCAATCGTATATCGCCCGGTATACCCTGAAATAATTAACGATGATGGTGATGTGATGACGGTAATAATAATAATAATAATAATAATACTGGCGTCGTTTATAATTTCGTAGATTTCTTATTTATTTTTTTCCATCCAATCCTGACGTCGTCGTCGATCAGTTACGAACGATTATAATATTATATTGTTGACGACGCCTAAAACAATAAAATATTATAACGTAATTATTATTACGCGATGGTGCCCGAGTACGTACGCCTGATAACGTATTTTATTCTCGCGGCGCACGTGTACGTATACGTTTATTTATTTGAATTGACGGGCAAATGCCCACCTTTACTACAAATTGAAAACCGTAGTTACAATACCGACATGTGCACGCGAAAAATATGCGTTTCTTTTTTTACCACAAATGACGTTGTTAGCTCTTAACTAAAAGCCTTGCATTAAAATCGATATTACGAGGTTGTACAAGCAACTAATCTAACCCAGTGACTATTTTATTGGTCCAAATAAAAACTATCGGAAAAAAAAATTATTATTTCCCCTGTTGGTTTTGTATTGAGACAATATGTTCGATAAATCCAAGTTCTCCTATAGGCATAGTGTTACTNAAAAAAATTATTATTTCCCCTGTTGGTTTTGTATTGAGACAATATATTCGATAAATCCAAGTTCTCCTATAGGCATAGTGTTACTGCTAGGTAGGTATACGAAAAGCAATTTCAGAAAGGTTACCATAATAGAAATGCGGTTGTAATCGAATAATCGAAATATCGTCAATACGCGTAATATCAACTAATTTGCGTCCAACAGATAGACAGTGAGTGAGTTTTCATCGATGTTTAATATGGCGTCTCTCGAGATAGGGAAATCATTGCTATAATCTATATTATGCTGTCAGAAATGTACCCTGGACATTTTCATAATATGTTGAGTACCTATACATTTTTTATATTAGTGTTATCGTTGCCAGTCGAATCGGGTAGAGGGCAGTTGTTCGAAATTTGATTAGGATAAATAATAACGGACCGGAAGAGTCACTTCTTCTATACACGTATATTTTTAATTTGCAATATTCGAAATTCGAATACTAAATACTATACTGTGTGTTTTAATAATATTCTGATATCGCTTTGTCTGGAAGTCTCTCGCGAATGAAACGAACGGAGGGAATTAATCGAAAATAAACCGCGGTTCGCAACGCGAAACCACGTCGGGTGTAGTATTTCATTTCGTGTGCACTGTGATGTGCGACCGGACCGGTCAGACCGTAAACGGTTATTATCATTTTTCGAACAGGCCCCGTACAACCCGCGGTCGAACCGATAACGTATCACGACGTGATAATAATCATCGTTATCGTATAAATATTATTTTATTCGCGAGAAATTGGTTTCGTCGGTATAATAACCCTAACCACGCGCGGGTACAGGGTCATCGCATCGGCTCTATTGTCATCTCGTCTGCGCGTTATTGCAATAATGATATTGTTGTTATTATTATTATTATTATTATTATTACGTTATTATAATATGACGTCTCTGCGGGCGACAGAATGTTAAAACTGACATCACTTTACCCAAACAGCATTACATAGCGGTGCATAATATATTATTGTTAAAATCATCATCACCGCTGCAGTTGCGGTCGTCAAGACTGCACTCGCAGCCGTTGCGCGTGCACTGTACGTCATAAACACATTATAGCCGCGGTTTTTATCGCCGAAATGGGAATCGCGAAAAATCGAATACACCCGATCTACTGCATTTAGTGGGATATAGGTACACACGAAGAAATTAATGATAATAACCATTCACGCCACAGGTGAAATAGCGTGATAAGGATTTTAGCGTGGCCACCATATTCATCGTACTAAAGTCCAGAATGGATATGTAGTCTAGTACTTAGTTAGTAAACTAACGATCTCCGGACGCGTATTTAACACGTACAAACCCTATCCGACTTCAGCCCGGCCCGTCGTAGTTTTTCATCGACCTGGGTTTTAGATTTACACTTTAGGACACTAACTTCCTTGGAGCAGTTGGAGCAGTATCGCAACATGGTAAATACCTATTTACTATGTTGCGAGACTGTTTTGTATGAATTTTAAAACCTCCTAAAACTCTTAAAACCAACTCGGTTAAGTGTCCTATGTGTAAATCTAAACCTTAGTTCCTAGTCGATGATAAACCACGGTTTTGCGGTTTTACATACTCGATGGATTTAACGTGGAGAATAAAATTAGTTTAAAAATATTAACTTAGAACCTAACTCGTTTGACTATTATATTTTAAATCATCTTAATATAAACTCAATATTATTTTCTCGGTAGTCCGTTAAAATCTGCAGCGGTGGTTTAAAGTGTTTTTTTAATATATATATATGTACATATATATAAGACAATTTCGTCGAAATTCGAAGTAAAAATTATCCTCCTTGTATAGAATGCAATGATATAATGTTGTTGAGTACAAAAAAAAAAAAAAAAATGTACAACCAAAAACGAATAAAAATTGTAAACAATTGTGTATTTTTATTGCGCAACATTTTTATACGATTTGTATGCGTTAAAATTTTTCTCAGTAGTTTTTGTGAATCAAAAAAACGAAAAAAAAGTTCATGCATCAGCCGGGAATCGAACCCGGGCCGCCCGCGTGGCAGGCGAGCATTCTACCACTGAACCACTGATGCTGCTGAGTACTACAATGGGTTTACATACACTCAAACTAGAGATACTGGCTGATAAACATTTAACAATATAAATACAATCAAATCGTTGGTATTTAATTTTTACGTTTTTCGACCAAACACCGTTATTATAATTAATACGCATTTTTATTTTTAGTTCTTTTGATAATACGTATATCGATAATATATTACTACAAGTAGATTATCTATTATATTATTATTATTATTACTTAGACATTAATATATGCATGCAGGTAAAGAATCTACAAAAATAATAAGACACAGCAAAACGAATACATTTATCGCTTCACTCAGAATCTAAAAACTGTTTTAGTGATAATACTCGACGGAATAAATAAAAAAATAAAATAAATACCTACAATAACTAATATTTTCAATAATATTTGTTTCATTTACGATCGGTCGTCGTAAAAAAAAAACATCATAGGGTATAATATTTAAAACAATAAGCTACATGTTTATTGGGTACTGCAAGTTTATTCCGAGTTAAGTTTTTTCTGACGCGTATTTATTTGCGTTTCTATTAATAATATTTGAAATTTTTACTTATTTTGTTTTTTTTATACTTTTTCATGCTATACTAAAGACTTTCTGTAATGATATAATATGTATCGTTAAATTTTCACACTGCTGCAGGTACACTATTTTTTTTTTTTTTTTTTTTTTTTTTTTTATATTCTTTATCATTCTATAAACACAAAATAAATTTATACGAATTGTGAAAACTGAGTGTTAATTTATCATTTTTTTTTTTCATTTACTTAACAATGAACGTCATCATAACCTATAGTTACCCATCTATTTAAATCACAGGTTACATTAATATTACATTAATTTTTCCTTCGCTTTCAATGCTTTCGCTAAATCGAAATCGTTTTTTTTTTTCAATTGAGAAAGTATATACGTACCTATACATATTAGGTACCACACACAGTAAGATATATCCAACTCTAATAATATAATTCGATTGCCCGCATTTGTATAGCTCAGAATAAACATATAAAAAATAGACGAACATATTTCGCACCACACTTTTCTAATTGGTAAAATTGCCCTGGTTTTTTCAATGTTATCAAGACCAAACTAAATGTCAAACTTGAAAATAGACCATATTCACGGACATTTTATATTACATTACGGGACGAAACAAACACGACCAATTATTAAAAATCCTGCCGCGTACATATTATTATCGTGTATTATACCTTCGCGACCCCACTCGCCTACAACGGCTAGTGGCCCACCCGTGAGCGTAGTATTAACTTTTTTTTTTTCTGTAATAATTATTTTGTAGTTTTGTTTTTATTGCAAATGTGCGACCAATCATACCGCGAAGGTGCCGGCGACATTACGTATTATCTATATAATTATTCTTATGGGTGTACAACGCGTACGCATATACAATATTAAAATAATAATAAACCAAAACGGACTATTACCGCGGGCACTGTGACGGATTTTTAAAAACGGTTGCACCACGCATATAATATTGTAATAATGTCATAGTGATGCGTGTTTATGAGTGTAATAGGTAGGAGGTACTCACCGTGTTATGATTGCACGTACAATGTGCATACCGCGTACATACACACACATATTTTCGTGTACACCGGTTCCGACTCGAAAACGGAAATCGATTTTGGATATCCGTCAACGTCTGGTGAGCAAGCGATAATTCCCGCGGCACCGTGTTTTGTCTAGAGAGGTCCGAAGTGCCTTCATCGTTGGTTGGGGTTCTCCACTCAAATCGCCAAACATTATATATAAATTTGAAAAAAAAACCATCCATCACACTCATTGAAGCACTTTTGTTATTGTATAGATTGTACGAGTTACAGATTAAAAATTTAGAAAAAAAAAAAAATCTAGTGAGGTTTATATTTTATCTTGCCCAGATAATTGAGAAACGAGTATGTGCATCAGACATATGTATACCTATACGTTTCGTGACGGTACAGGTGATGTATGCATTCTGCAGGACGAAGCAGACATATTAATCGACGTATTATTAATATGATCCATCCGCGGGAGACATGTCTTTCATATAATATTTATCAGCCAAAGTCACCCTCGAGTATACGAATCAAAGATATTGCTTATCGGTCGACCTTATGTTCAGAGGGACACCATAGACGAACGTCGAGAAAACATAAAATTATAATACCGGTATAATGTAATGTTACCGCAAAAACCCGATCATCAGCGAAGTTTTCCCAATGTCATCAATATTACGGATTAAAAGACCGAAAAACCGGAGAGAAAAAAACTCTCTTTAACCGAGTATATTTTTTAGCGATAGACTTATAATTCCATAATCGTTTCTTTTTCGATACATTATAATGATGCGATTCATTAGATACGTTCATACGTGAAAAAAAAAAAATCTCCGAATTATGATTAAGAATCCGGTATTCGCGTATTTTAATGTCTATTATTTTTATATTGAAGTATGAGCTATACTTCGAACGTACTCCAGATTGTCTTCTATTCCATATCTGTCCATATTTGTCTGTAGGGTTTATCTTTTTGAGTTTATCGCCGTTCATATGCTGCAACCCTGGAGCAACATTTTGTTTATCTTCTCAAGGCTCTTCGAACCGCGTAAAAGATGTGCCATCTGGCCGTCATCGATCGTCCCCGAGTGCCTGCGGTCGTATTATGACCGCGATAGAGTAATAATTGGGGTCGGGGGGCGTTGCGTGGAGTGTCGGAACCGTGCGGATTCCTGTATCGGTTCATCCAAACGTACATCATCATAAACATGATGAATTATTTGAAGGTAAGCCATAACCAGTGAAAAGTTGAAAAACTTATAGTTAAAAATGTACCGTCAAATTTTGGTTTGTTTAAAGTTTGGATTCTGAGTGAAGCAAAGAAGCTTATAAGCTTCTAACTATGTATGGTTTTACAATGATGCTTATTTTTTTGTCTACTGCGGATAACTTTTCTACCAGAAATCTTGCTTCGTACGTAAGTATGGCACTATTACTGAAAGGAAATTATGCTAGGTGGCACTTTAGGGAGATCATTTTATAATATCTGGGTGACTGGGTCGATAAAAGTTATAAACGTTATTAATTATATTTATTATAAAGTAGATAGTAAATATTTCGGTAATGTATGAAACAATTTTTCTTCGTCTCTATGTATAAGTCGCTCGAAAAGGCATTTTCCGGGAGAAAAGGTAGGTCGCTGTGGGCGTCGTCGTGTAAGCTGTCAGGCTACGTGATTTCAACTTCGTACACCCATCCTATCGGCGAAGTAGTGTCCTTTTGCAATTTTGTTTGCAATTTCACCAATAATGTTTCCAAACGACTGATGGCCGGCAACGGTAAAGAAATTAATCAGTTTTCTTTCAGTTGAAGAAAAACATATTCGATTTTTTATACGATTAAATACAAAATATAATATAGATAATAAATAATAGATATATATATAATATAATTAAAATACTTCTCACGTGGGTGCAGCCACTGCTGTTGTGGGTGGGTAGTTGGAAAGATAGGATACTGACGGAAATTTAATGTACATCTGTAAGCAACGATTAACCATTACTAACAAAAAAACGATTCTAAGCGGCGTTCAGTTGAAAGTATTAATTTGTCAACAATATTATGTGTCATATTATGGTTAAATAATTACATATGCATTAAACATTTTCCTTAAAAATATATGTTTACTATTGTACCTATTATCCCGTTATCGCGGTTTTCCCATGTTTTTCTCATTCATTAGGAAAACTCATCAAAAAATGATCTTCCTAAAGTACCTCCCCAGTCGAAAAAGTGCTAACAATGTAAATCGGAGAAAAAAATGCTGGTTGAAAAGTTGTTTACTGGAAAAATAAGGCTATAATATTTTTAAACTAATATACCTATATTTCGTACATTTTCCCGTTTTTCCTCAGCTTTTTAGATTTTTTCAATATATTTGGAAAACTCCGAAAAAAATCAAAAAATAACCTTTTTAAAGTGCCACTCAGTTAAATTTCCTTTTAGAAAAAGTGCTACACTTGTAAATCGGAGCAATATTTCTGGTATACAAATTGTTCACAGATTAAAAAAAAGAAATAAAGAAATAAAAATTGTTTAAGTCACTATGATGCACATTTTGTTTGATGAAAAACGCAAATGTCATAATTATTATTATTTAGTAATTGTTTACCGACTACACAGATATGTCATTTATCAAATATTGACAACATTTAATTTGCTTGTATTGAAATTATATACTATACGAAATTGACTTAATTATTTTGTGCACCGTATAGGTACTATACACCATATATAGGTATATACTATACCTATATAGTAACTGCATCTGCAGGACACGTGTTATTATATCGGAATAGTATCGAAAATCGACAATTCGATATTTTAAACGGCGATAGACCATAAATGTAGTGTATACCCATACGTATTATTATTTTTTAACAACATTATAATGTACACGTGACTTTGTTACTGTGAATATCGTAATGTACGTAGTACTACTTGCATCGCTATATTTTATTTTATTATTAAAAAACGAGAAAAACAAAACACATTCTACATTATCTACAAGTATAAACGCTACGCGGTGATTAGCCGGGGCAGATTTCCATTTACGTACTTACTTAAAACGACAATATATATACGTACACAGGAACATAAAGAGTTGCCGGCCGGATTACCCTTTCGAGGTCGCACACTCCGTAACCGTTGAATTTTTTCGTTTCGGACGAAAAAAAAAACAACAACATTACCTAGCTACCGCGTAATCCTTAACCAATAACGAATTTCATCACGTCAAAAATATACCTAGGCTGCGGGTACCTACCTAATTATATATAATGTGCGGACTAAATCGCGAAATACGAAATCTTTATATTTCGCGTCCTTGCGTGCTGCAGTATTCGCGAAAAATAAATTCCAACAAGTAAACGATCTGCGCCTATACGCGCAGCGCTGTAAAAACCAATACGCGCGCGGTTTGTATAATATTTCAACAGTAGAGAGAAAAATGTTTTTCCGAGAGTCAAGCACAAATTTACGTAAACGAGTATAATATTATAACATTTAGGAATGGGCAATTATATACTAGTATTTTCTCACAGGGTTGTATACAAAGAAGGAGGTGAGCGATAGGGGCGATCTCCCCCCTGGACATTGTTGAATTTGCTTCATGTATAGGTTTTTAGTTTCATTTTTTCTGTGCGGAAATGGTTATCAAAAGCTTGTTAAGATATTGATAAGAGATTAGAGATATTGTACCTATCATCAACATATATACCTACTGTTGGTTACAATAGTTATATTGTGGTTGTCTATACGATTATTGCCTGTAGTCTGCAACCACGGTCCGTGTTATTAACTTGTATTAAAATTGCAATTATTTTTTCGGGCAACAATAAATGCAAAATTGTGTTGTTTAATAATATTTAGTTTATTTTCAAGAATCGCATAATTTAATATGACGCATCAATAAATTATCTACAAAAATAAAACAAAACAAAACAACAATTTGATTTCGAACTAGGAAGTAATTTCTATTTTACAGTATTTGTTAAACGGTAGGTACATCTTTTGTATTTTTAAAATAATTTTAAAGAGATTCAGACCTAAAAGTCAGTCAAAACTGTAGGGATTGCGTTTGACGGATTCCAATTTCGATAACGGGTTATGATTCTTTAGGTTTAATCCTAGGACGTGTTGCGAATAGAAATTTAATATAGAAGACAGTTAAACATTAAAAAAAAAATAAAATAATTTCCACGTATCCCAGTTAAGCGCCAAAAGAATTTCGATAACTTTTCAAAATTCAAGTGTCTGCCAAACGGTCAAACGCCATTCTTCCTACACGGTTTCGTCTGACTTTTCGGTGTAGACCGCCATATCCGTACGTGAACCGGCCGTACCCTTTCCATTTAAATGGACAGAACATTGGCGGTTAAGTATTATTATTGAAACACGAATTAATGTTATAGCTATTACGCGTCGCGATATTAATAACATCCCATAACGTATCGCGGCAATAACAACGTAAAGCGCATAATATATCCATATCTAGTAATTGAACACCGCGATTGTAATACAACGATGGAAGTGTTACAACTCAACTGTGAATATAAACAGAGTTGTCTTTGTGTTAGGTAGGTACCATTATATTATTATAATAATATAACGTGCATGAATATGGACCAACTAGACCATGTTCGGCCGTGACCGTGGCCCATTGAATATAATTTACGTTGCCCGAAAGTCTTCTAACATAATAATACTATTATCATATTTTGTTGTGTTTACTGTTTACATTCACGCGCGTGCCGCAGATGCAGTGGCGTGTATGGGATTTCGCCATGGATGGGGAGATAATACATTTGGAAATTGTGTCATATCGTATAACGTGTACGTAGCTAGGCTGAACAAAAAAAAAAAAAAATCAATTTTTAATTTATACATTTTTGCGAGCAGTTTATAATCCAATCTGCCAAAAATTTAGGTGTTTCGTTGCGTTGCGTAGTGTTTCGTTTCAGACAGGACAATCATTATAACGTTCATATTTTTCTGACACATTATTAGATACCAATATACATTTCTGACTAAAAGTGCATAATATTTTGAATTTAAAATTTAACCAGTCGAATCTCCTTAATCTCTGCCCCCCCCCCGCTATACATTACTAATAATGTAATATAATGTCACAAAAGGGCGTAACACCTATTATAATATTACACATCACATAAAAAATCCGACTATCCGTGTGATGATAATTATTGTACTTGTTATGTGTACATGATAATATGATATTGTACAATTCAAATTCATCGCGATTTCAACGAATTCATTTGCTCGGCGAACGAGTGTGTGATGTCGTCAGTGATGTGCGGGGGGGAGAGAATTTTGGAGCCATATTGGCTCCCCATTGGTTTTTTAATACTATTTTTTATGAATATTGACTTAGCAATTTTATTTTTAAATATATATTACGGTCGAGTTCTAAATAAAAGTGACGATTAAAAATCAGGTTTTTGGTGTCCGGCTTTTAAATTCCCATTCCCCCCCACCCCGAGTTGTCTGTAAAGAAGACGGCTCTACGTTTATTTATGATTATTATTTACTACGTCTCCTCCCGTTGAAAATTTCAGGGAATGTCATTGGATGTCTTTAGATGTATGTTGTAAGTAAAAATCGGATTAAATATCGGTCGGGAAAAGGAGATGTATTTTTTTTTTTTCAGTGTTTTTCCGCCGCGCGGTAAAGAATTCAACGCCACCGCCGTTCCCCTTAACGGCAAAATAAAAACCTTGGGCCGTTACACTAATAACTATAATAGTGTAATAGTATTAAACGATCGTATTTTATATTATTTGTTAATCGTAAAATAAAAAAAATAAAGATTGAACGAGATATACACGATTACGAAAACTGCCGGCCCGTTTGTAAACCGTATAATATAAATTATTGTATTAAATGTACGAAACACAATTATTTTTATTATTATAATAGAGGCGTGTGCATTTTCTGCAGAACATATTTGTACCATACTTATATTGCCTAGGCGGTGTCGTGTGATATAAATCATCGCACTCCACAGTATTAACTACACGGACGACAATATTAATAAAAATCGAAAATAAACCGGTTCCCGTATCGTATAAAAAAAAAAAAAAATTTATTGCAACTCAAAGTTGAACTTTTACAAAATAACGTACGCCACAGTTATGTTATAAACGAGTTAAATTATAATTTAATTACCGTAGGTACTTACGTGAATTATTATTTTACCGTTCACGCAGTAAACGTCCTAAAAACACCTAACCGGAACGAGATTATAACAAAGTTTTGAAAAAATCGATTTCGCGTTCGAAACGAATATATAATATTATTTTGAAAACGAGACATAAGTATTTTAAAATGATTTTCGCCTTATACGCGATTATTAGAATTTGCGCTGTCACGAATTGAAACGAGACAGTCTCTTTTAGTTTAATACGTTCTGCATAAGCGCAACAAGACCACCGAATTCGGGGGAGGGCACTAAAGTTATGGACACATCAAAGACCAATGGAGGCTATGCTCCCGCAAACCCCTTAACACGACTCTTACAATCGTCAACTACCCATTTCATTTATAATTTTGTATATACCAATTTACCATAACTATTTTAACATTATTTTTCGTACACACATGCAGATTCTCTAGGAAACCTGTATTTTTTTCTGTTTATTAATTATGAAACACACGAATAAAATATTTACTATGAAAAAACTGATTAGATTTTTTTTTTTTGGGAGTGCAAGTTTTAAACTTGGGGTAACAAAAACCCCATAAGACCCCCTAGTTGTGCCAACGGAAACCATAAAGCATAAATGAGTTAACGAAAAAAAAAATTCATGGGGAGAGAGAAACGGGGTCACTGATCCCGGCACACATCCATAAACATCCAGCCATCGCTATCCGATACTCGACCATCGTGATTTCGAATCTAATCCTTCTTCTAGTTCTAATAAATATATAAATTTTATTATAAATTATACTAGCAAATTATCGCGTAGAGTTAATTTCAAACTTATATTCGAATACAGTCATATTTCAAAATTAATAAACTCCAAGTCGCGACGGATTTGGCAATAAAATCACATCGTGGTTTTTTTTTTCAACTGTTGCCCATGCGTTTTTTTTCTTTTTTAAAACCATCATCGAATTTCTTTAGATGTTGTTGTCGAAGATACTCGTAGTTAATGTAAAACTAAATGAAATTTAATGTATTAATAAACGCGAATATTATAAAGCAACGGTCAATTATCTTCCGTGTAGACGAACACGCGACTATAAAACCATAAATAATTAATTTAAAGAACAACATATTTAACATGCCCATAAGAATTAAAACGTAATGTATTTCGAAATAAATTAAAAGACAATTATTGCTTTAGACACGCGTCACGACAATGACACGGCCGCACAGGACGTCGAATACAAAATAGATTTTACTGAGATGTGTGTTTTTTTTTCTCCCTATCTGTAAACAATTTTTCAAACCAAAAATCGATCACATCAGAAACGGTTTCTGGTAATAAATCTCGTTTAGTCGGTGCATCGGGCAAAGACGTTTATTACGATTTTCTTTTTGTACTTTACTTTTAATAATGGGGAAAAAATCCCCCCCCCCCAAAAAAAAACGACGACGAAACGGGAATATTTAAGCCGTATCTCCGTTAGCAGTCTCGGAGATTTTTGCCTACACACGGGTACAAACAAACGTTTCCTCTTTCTATTACAGTAAGATAATAGTACTGATTGTACCTGTTATACTATTTCGTAATCTAGTCAATAAAAGTCGTAGCTTTAGAAAAAAAAAAAAAAAAAAAAACTGTAATCACAATAATGTTCCGACTTCCTCGATAAAAAAAAAAAAAGTGAATACTATGTATTATATATGTACAAGTATAGTGAATATATTGAATAGAGCGTATAATATAATAATGTTTACATTTATATAGATTTTGTTCGTATTCGTAGACAATACGGTACAACAACGCGTCCGGTTGACAATGAATACTATCGTTTTTTATGATTTTAATTTTTAATTACAAGGTGACTTGTACACGACGATGACCGTACTGTTTATTTTTATATTTTTCTCCTGAAAACGAATAAGTGTAACCGCGCGTCGTACCTTCAGCGTTGGTATCTATATTATATTGCATTTATATAATACACACGCGAATAACCAAACGGTTATTCAATATCGTATTATTGAATCAGTCATTATTTGTATTGGTTACTCACTGTGTGCTGTACAATATGAGAACGCGCACAATGAAATATTTTCTTTTGCACGGTAAAATCACGGGACCGAAATGAGTGTTCGCGACGAAAATGCATCGGACATTACATATTAAACGTTTAATATTGCAATGTTACGAGCACAATGTTTTTGTACCGTTTACGTTTAAACGGGACACCCAGAATTCGGGAGATGAAAATCGTACGTGTTGTAGTATACCTACAGTATTTGAAAATAAGTTATTATTATTGATAAAACAATCGACGAGGGTTGAAAATCGTAAAGCCCTAAGAAAAAAAAAAAAATTATTGTTCATTATAGATTCTAGATAAATCCAATTTTAAAAATACGGACATACTTCGCACGTGGGTGCAGCCACTGTTGTGGGTGGAAAGTTGAGCAGGTGACATACAGATGGTAATTTAATGTATAACTAAGTGACAATAAACCATTGCTAACGAAAAAACGATTTTGAGCGGAGTTCACTTAATAGTGATGCTTTGTCAACAATATATATCATATTATGTCATTATTAATTATTATTATTATTATCATTATTAATATGTCATATTATGGGAAAATAATTAAATAGGCATTATATATTTTCTTTAATAATATTTTTTTAATATTGTATCAATTTTCCTGTGTTTTTTCCCAGTTTTTCACAATTTCTGGGAAAATTAAAACATAATATCCTAAAAATACCTTCTCAGTCAGATTTTCTTTCAGAAAACGTGCTGCTATCATTGCAAATCGGAGCAAAATTGCTGGCAGTAAAGTTTTTCACGGGGAAAAAAGGCCGAAATATTTTTCAACTAATTCCTACATTTCGTACATTTTCCCGTTTTTTCCCAGTTTTTCTTTTATTTGTTGAGAATACTGCTGAAAAAATTAAAAAAATGATCTTCCTAAAGTACCTTTCCAGTAAAATTTCCTTTCAGAGAAGGGTCTACATCGGAGTAAGCTTTCTTGTAGAAAAAGTATTCACATAAAAAAAAAATAACATCTTTGTAAAACCAATACATTCACTAGAACCTAAAATATTAAATTCCCAATATTTATGAGCTCTTAGTGGATGAAAACTGAGATTTAGTGATTCAGGGTCGGTGGATGGCGTCGGGGTAACAGAAGAATGTAGGGAGGCATTCAGTACCGTTGTGGTGGCAACGGTGACGGCTTTCACATCACCGTCAAAACTGTCAGTAACTATTTTTCGATTTCCTGTATTAACGTCGCGTTATTTTGACAGAAAACTGAAATTTTGTACCGGGAATTTGGTAGGGTGGTATTTAGAACCTTCTATAGACGCTATAGGCCGCTATATACCGTTATATACCATCGACTTTCTGAACTCCTCGTGCCGATTTTAAATATTTAAAAACCATTCAAATTTGTTATGGAAATAAAAACAAAAATAAAGAACCAATACTGCTCACGGGTAGACCACTGTTGTGAGTTAAAAATGAGTATGAGATATGTTGGGTAATTATTAGTTTAAATTTTGAATGCGCAATGCTAAATTCTAAATGGAATTTGTTTTACCATGTGGCTTTTTATTTATTTTTTTGTATGTGACTGTAAACAATTTTTCCACCAAAAATTTTATCAAAAACTTTATAGGTACTTTACATGGTTTTCTTAATGAATGGGAAAAAACCGACAATTTTCGAAATGATTTTTGTTGATTTTTTTGCATTTATTTATTTTATTTATTCAATTTACGGGCATGTGTCCAATATACAATATAATTATAAGTTAACGTAACAAGGTATTTTAATAATATAATGATAATAATAATAATAATAATAATTTAACTGTTTGACTATTTAAAGGTACACTTAAATAAGTTAAACAAAACAAAAATAAAAACAATACCAACAAAAATAAGTAAAAATAATTTTTTAAAAAACAAACAAAAACTCTAAGCAATTACGAATACTAAGCATTGGCTATTTATTTCAAGTTGATAAGTAGATTCTTGATTAATAATACAATTTAATATATAAATAGTTATTTTAAAGATTTAAATAGACTTTTAAAATTATTAATGCTGTTAGAAAGAAATAAGTCTATATCAAAGAGATTTCCTACGTTCATAAGAATCTTTCCCAGTGAGTAGTGGTATTCAACAGAGGAAAATCACGGCAAATAATATTTCGCTCAGAATCATTCCTTATTACCAACTGTTTGTCATTGCGAACACATATAAATTGAATTACCGTCTGGTTATTTTCCCTTCCAACTTTTCCCGTAAAACTAGGTACAAAATAATTATAAAATGCTTATTGATTTTTAACTGCTTTCTACGTCAGAATTTCAACTTTGAACGTTGCAAAAAAAAAAAAATAATAATAATAATAATAATAAAAATTGTACCCCGCCGGCTCGGTCAAATAATACAAATAAACTCGAATCCAGCCGATTCGCATTCGATAATATGCCCGAAGAATTTCTCAAACGTGTAAAACAATAGCTGCGCAGCTCTGCCACATTAGTGTAATCGACGAAACTGTTCAATTCGCCGCGCGATCGTCGCAAATTATTCAAGGCGATCCTGCCAACCGTGCGCCCGGGTCGGGCGGCGCCTAATTCAAAATTATATTTTCTACTCCAGGTAGGTATGTACGCCTGTAATATTGGATTCGATTAGCGCGGCGGCGGTCGGCGAGCGGTAAAAGTTTGATGGTAACGCGTATTAAATATAAATATAATATAGGTAATTGTCATATTGACTTCACGGATGTCAAAACGAAAACGACCTGATAAAATACCGTTCAAGGATCTGTGCGCGAGCGCTCTCGCCGGTTTTTGGCCTTAAATGGCGCGGGGGTTATCGGGCGTGTATCGTAACGCGGTTATTAATGTACCCATAGTGAGTGTTGCGCGGGGGAAAAAAAACGGATAAAATATTGTTTTACACCTCGGATATATTATGACGCTGTTTATTCTATAGAAACGGGCTAAGGAAATCGTTAGAAATTAATTACTGTGCGCCTTGACACTCGATTATACAGCCAAACAGCGCCGCGGTATTACGCGCGTCCGACAAGCGATTTTTTTTTTTTTTCCTCCAGAGAAGGTCTCCGCATTAAATTACAATATTACACCCGTGGGTACGATTTAAATGTAATAAACTCGTTTGTGCGTTTGTGCATGTGTACGATCGACGACAACGAAATGTACACTATATTATAAAATATACCAATGATTAGACAATAACGTCATTAATTCAATGGCGTATTTACGAATTGATTTTTTTTTAGAGGGATGCCATTAAGATGCGACTAAGTTCACTTAAATCATTTAAGTGGCTGATGCGAGACGACATTGCAATGAGACAAGTTGACTACCGTACGGTTTCTTTTGAATAATGTTCTGTAGGTACATTTCAAGTATAATATTTAAATGTGCTCTAATAGTAGGTGTTTAACTCAACTTGGTTAACATAATTTGACTTATTCTCTTTTGTTTTTAAACAATTTAACTCATTATTAAATTATATTCATTAGGAATTTAAAGTTACTATGAAGTTAGGAACATACTCCTAATTAATATTATAATTTCAGATACAAATATTTTATAGTAAAGCAGAAGATAGTGGCAATTTGTCAGGTTTGTTATCTGGTCCCAGTCAGTTTGCCCCAGCACATAATTTTGAGTACACTGTTAATTAAACCCAGAGTAAAATAACATTTCATATACCTGCTGATATAATATTGTCAATAACTACCATTATCCACAAATGCAAAAAACAAATATAATTACTTATCGCAAAAGACTTACTGAGGGCGGGACTAATTTTTTTATTTTAATGCGAAAACAAAGAAATAAAAACAGAAGTTCATGCGCTATTAGATAATAATTTGTACAGATATAATTTACATCATACCATCCATACAGTTCTAAATGTTCTAAAAAAATCACCACTAGATATCGTAAGAAATATTGAAAAAACCGAATCAATCAATTCGCCCACTCTCCCCAATATATAACTCATACACACACATGTACGCGGACGGGTAGCTATAATATCTATAACATCGATCCTCCGGCCAGCATTAAGACGCTCGTCCCTGGCATTATGCGTGTAGGTATGTGTAATACATATAATCCATCACGACAACCGTATAAGGTATACAAGTGTATATTATATAGTAATATTTAACAATAACAATATCGTGTATGTGGCAACAATATCAGGCAGTGTTTATGGCGATATTAAAATGTGTATAGGTACCAGCTATCGTGTAGCGATTTGGAATTATGAATATATAATAGTATATTAATACGACCGATTCCCCCGCTACTATATATTATTATATTCCACCGATGGCCGTACATAGATATAGTTGTGACTGCTCGATCATTGATGCGAACGCCTAAGTTAGGTTAGGACACGCGTGGAGAGCTGATGGAGATGCATTAAAGAATGTCCTAACATAAAAAGCGAAAAAAAAACGCCCACTTGGAAGACCAAGGACAAGGTGGTAAGACGCTGTAAAAAAGGACACGAGACTGGTATAGATAGATGGTAGTGCAATGCTGGCTTAAATTCTAGACAGAGAAAAATGGAGAGGTTTATTAGTGGTAGCACTGGTCCTGAATGGACCGTTAAGCTGTTAAAAGAAGACTGCTCGATCTTGAAATTTCACTCGCGGAATATTGTCGAGTGTGAAGGGTTTCTTTTAACGTTCGCGTCGTAAATGAAATTATTCGAAAATCGGCACAGAAAATCTAAAAAAAAAAAAAAAATAGTTGACCTCCACATCCCAATATCTCTATCGTAAAGACAAAAATACTTTTATAAATAATTTCGATTACAAAATTTACGATGTGAATTTTTCTCAAACAACCCCTACGAAAAATTTCCACACGGTCGCCCTCGCAATAGTTTTTTTTTTTTTTTTGTCGGGACCGACGCAAAACCATATACGTGTACGTGCGCAATACAACTCGGTCGAGAACAAAACATTTTCTGTTACTAGAGGTTATACCATAGTATAGTATAAAGTTATTGACGGACGAAAGATTTTTTTCTCGTCGATATAAAATTATACGAAATATTATTATTGTAACGTTTGCTTTCATACGTGTAGGTAGGTAGGTAGGTAGGTAGATAGGTAACGTATAAGGTCACGACAGACCACTCGTAAATAATTGATTTTTGTCCATCGCCTCATTTGTCGTTTTCCGGAGTAGGTAATATACCCAAACTTGTTCAAAGTTATCGGTAACCCTGAAACGCGCGAGCAATAATATTACCTGACCTAACTCGTCTTTATAATAATTTTATTATGGTAACTTCTGCGTGTAAAACACACTGTATCGCAGTATGGGCGGTTAAGCGAGAGAGGGCGATGTGAGCGGGATATCATCACCCCGAGACTTGTTTCCCTCTCGATATTTATAATAATATTATATTATAAATGTTACATTACCTATACTCGTATATATATATATATATATATAAATAATAATTGTTAAAAAATCAGCATCCTCCCCCCACTCCCTCTGAACAAAATATTTTACCTCGTATCGCAAAATCGTCCGATTTTTTTTTTTTGGAGGGGTATGTATTTAATTGTATAAAGAAATCTACAGCCCAGATGCACCAACCATTAGTTTACATAACAATTCGATGCTTTATGATATATTTTTTTTTTAAGCAGGTATAATTAATTTTTAATTTGTATAATAAAAATTGTTTAAAAAATGTAAAATCCCTCTTTTTCTTTTTTTTTTTTTAGTATCATTACTAACATAATACAACATATTATAAAATCTCGGATCGTAGTGGTCTAGAGAAAAAAACTATAGATTCCTAAAATATACTTTCACTTATTAAGTAATATTTACTTATATCAGTGAAGTAATTTAGCCTAATACAATGTAAAATGTTTTCTTTGGGTTTTCGTAAATGCGCTGCAGGACCCGTTCTCGAGCATTTTTATGACTGTCACAAAAAATACATATTTTTACCGAAATAAAAAAAAACAACATATCCTTGTAAAATAATAATTATCTCTACCAAGAATATTTTAAAACAACTTTCGGTAAATACTATATATATACAGAATGTTAAAACTGTATATAAAAAAAAGCTATTAATTAATTTTACAGGGTGTTAGGCATCATTAGGTTTATAAAATTAGTTTATAAAATAAAAGTGTAATACAGAGATGTTCGCGAGTATAATATACCGATTGCGATATCTTTAGACGGTATAAACTAATTTCGGATTTTTTTTTTTTTTTCATTTTAAGAAACAAACCACTCTAAAATGTTAGGTACATTATCATTATTTTATGTCACTTTTGTTTTTGGGAGTGAAACAGTCGGTTTACTTTTAATTTTCGAATTACACCCTACTATATCATAGTAACCATATAGACACAGACGGAGTATTATAATTTAAACACATTTTTGGTGTTGAAATGTCAATCACAATTGACACCCTGTATATTGGACATAATTGGTATATAAAACACGAGTTTGTACTCTATGTGTATTTTATTAAACGAATTTCGTACAATTTTTTAACTTTGGAAAAAAATAATATAGTTTTGCTGCATGTACTTATAATAAAGAAATATTCAAATGACCAAGGGAAAACTACTTTCGGTGTATAATAATAATATTGAATACGAATGAATACAGTATTTTTTTCTTGATTTTTGCATATCACAGATGCATGATTTAATTCAGTGTAGAGATTAATTTATTATATTATACCGATATTTAAATTATGTGTAATAGAAAGACTCCGTGGACCACGATGTGCGTGTTTTACTTATTTTGGCGTCAACGTTTTATGTAGGAACGCTCGCATTCGCCCACTAAATGTTATGTTATACGAGTACAGTTTCTCATAAAATAATAATACTCGTACAATAATAATAGCGTTCCGGATTGTTATTCGAAAAAAAAAAAAATATATAATACTTTACATACGATTATAATACCGAGCAGTGGCGTATTTACGAGGACGAATCGAATTTGTATACATATTTATATATATACATATGTATAATAATATTATTAATATATATATATATATATATATATGTATTAATTATTGATAATTTATAAACTATCAAAAAAAAAAAAAAAAACATTAAAAACCCGTAATTTTATCATTTATGTTAATAGAATAGTAGGCAAGGGCGACCACAGGGTAATTTTCAGACGGGGGACAAAATGAATCTGGATTCTAAAACCTATTTATAGCATACATATATACTAGGTTGGTATTTCTTGAAAAGGTTGAAAATTATGTAAACATTAGTTTAGTGCGATAAGCAAAAGTTATCATCATCAATAAAGAATAATATAATAATATTTATTTTAATGGATTCAAAGTATACATTATTATTTTTTGAATACTTTTGAATATTTTCTAGGAGGGAAATGTACCCGTATTGCCCCCCCCCCCAATGGGTTCCCATAACAGTGTAGGTACAATGCTCTATGGTGTTACTACAGATATTATAATATAATATTACAATATTATAATATAATAAACTAGATTGCTACACTCTGTATATCTGGTTAAAGTCAACAGCAACCATTTAAAACGAAGCCGTCATGCCTTAACAGTTATTATTTCATATTGATAACAAATCTTTTTTTTTTTTTATATTTAAATATATTATTTCGATTAAACAGTTAGACGTTTCATTAATTTAATTAGAAATAATCGCATAATACGCTACTGGTACCTAGATTCTGTAACCGGAATCTGCACGTTTTTCAAGAAATTTGATAGGCATCTTATACTGATTATAACCATACTATTTTTCGTGAAATCAAATGATGATGTACGCGATTGCCTTTCAATTTTAGCATAAAACAAAAATGTAATAATATTATTACCGTACTATAATCCCGCAAATCTCAAGACGAGAAAAATATTCGACGCAAAATCGATAGGAAAACGAGCAGAGATTCATCGGTTACAGGACCTACGGATACTATCGCAACTTTATATTAGAATTGCATGCCTATATTGTATAGTATATATTCTGGATAGTAGACGATAATAATAATAAGTAAATAAAATAGCGTAACGAAATTATAAATATAGTGCCGCCAAGTGAGTAATACGATTATTAATGTATAGCTACATAATATAGTTTCAAATATTTTCAGTGTAGCTGTGGACCACTGGACGAGCTTTTTTTTTTTTTTTTCAAAATGCCTATACTCAAAATATTGCAGTAGCACCGGCGACTGTTGAATTTTATTTAATAACAAACTTTTTGATGAACAACCGATAATTTTATGCCGGTATTATTATCGTAATAAAAATTATAAAGTGAACGTATAAAATCGTTTTTGTTTCGAAACACAATGTATAATATTAATAAAAACAATATTTCGTGTAAAAGTATAATCACGGTTACACGTATGACGCGCCACTACGCGCATTTGAAATCCACTCAACTCGATTTACCGTATACAAGACATAATTTGTTTAATTAATTCAATATATAGCTGGTACACAGACTGGGCGGAACAATTTTGGACCCAAACCGCTTTATACAGCTTTATAGAGTACACAAATTCTGCATTTTACTGCATCGCGGGCGATATAATGTAATGAAATATAATTTGTCGGGAATTGAAAATGGTACCTACGCGGTTTATTCGAATTCGTCAACTAAATTTAATGTATATTTTTAAATCTTAGACTCGGAGCGTAGCGAGGAATGTTTTGGTGATGATGTTTATTTTTTTTTCTTGTGAACAACTTTTTCTACTAGCAATTTTGCTCCGATTTACAATGATAGCAGTTTGTATAAAAGAAAATTTAACTGAGGAGGTACTTTAGGGGGGTTATTTTTTTGATTTTCCCAGGAGTTTTCCCAATAAATAAAAAAAAAACGGAGGAAAACAAGAAAAACGTAGGAAAAACGGGAAAATATTAAACGAATATTATTTAAGAAAATGCATAATGCATATGTAATTATTTTACCATAATATGACATACATATTGTTCAAAAAGCAACACGGTCAACCGAACTCCGTTCAGAACGGTTTTTTTTTGTTAGCAATGGTTAATCGTTGCTTACAGATATACGTTTAATTGCCTATAACAGTTGCTGTACCCGTTCCCATTATCCTAGAACAGTTTTCTTTATCTGTGAACAACTTTTCTACCAGAATTCTTGCTTCGGTGTTTTAGTGTAGCCCCTTTTCTGAGAGGAAATTTTATCTGGGCGGTACTTATATTAAGTCATTTTTTTGATTTTCCGAGCGATTTTCAACAATAATCGGGAAAAACCGTAGGAAAACGGTATATTGTATAAACGAAACTTCGCTCCGATTCGTTTGGAAACAACGATTTATCGTTGCGTACTTCAACAATGGGCCACCCATCGTGCGAAGCATGTCCATTTTTCTATAATAGTGTGAATATTATTTTAATTTTCGAGGTTTTTTTTGTTGTTTGTTCAGTTCTATTTGCGTAATGAATAAATCGTGGCCCAAATTATTAACACAGTAATCTAACTTAACCAATTTTGTGCGCAGGTTCGGTGACTACCACTCTGGGAGACAGTTCGGCGGCCGGCAGCGACGGTGGCCGACTCGGCGAGACGTTCAACGGCCGCAGCGTGGCCGAAGTGAGGGACGGTCACTTGTTGGTCCGATGGGACGGGCCGGCCGGTTACTGTTGGAAGCTACAGCTCCGGCACCTGAATCTCGTCCCGTCCGAGCACGCCACCTACGGGTTCAGTCTCGTCCGGCCCGGCTGCAAGTCGCCCATCGTTACCGTAATCGTGAGTAAATCATCTCGAAATAATGGGCTAAGCGCGTTTGATCCAGGAACGTTCGGGCCGCTAATAAAACTGCATCCCGTTTGGACCAATAGTATTAAATTTCTGTAAAGGCTCGTTAAATAAACGTTCAGTTAAACTTATATAAGGAAAGTTCTGGTCCAAGCAGGTTGTATACAAATTGTATTTTTCAGCCCAAACGGGTCTTCAAAATTGGTCCAAACAGGTCCTGCCCCGAAAAATTATACAATCAGCGATGTGTTTTTCTTTATCTAGACGAGTCAGGTACATATTTTGTACTTTTTATCTTATCTAGATAAACGGGAAATAAGTCATCCGAGCCGTTATCTGATACGAACAATTTTAAATCACATAATTCATAGGGGAATATGTATAAAGCGAGTGTTCTTCGAAAATCTGCATAAATGCAATAAATGTTCTGTAAAAAGGCAACAAAAAAGGTATTTTGTGACTTCTACTAAATCATGTTTTCTGGTAGAAAACTTCGTCCGTATTTTTATAAAATAATGAAATCGTGAAATTACTTTCTATAGTACAATCTAGACAACTTTAGCTTTAATAAAAGTTGCTACATTTAAAAATCGAAGCATGAGTACTAGGTAAAAACGTATCCATATTAGAAGAAAAAAAATGAATAAACAGCATTATAAAACCAATAACTCTAACACTACACTCGGAATCTAATAAATTCAATTGGCCTATCTTTAAATATTATTAAAACATTATGTTATAATATAAGCATCAGTGGTTCAGTGGTAGAATGCTCGCCTGCCACGCGGGCGGCCCGGGTTCGATTCCCGGCTGATGCAGAAAATTTTTTTTCATATTTTTATTTAATTTTACATCGACACTTTTAAATATANGATACGAACAATTTTAAATCACATAATTCATAGGGGAATATGTATAAAGCGAGTGTTCTTCGAAAATCTGCATAAATGCAATAAATGTTCTGTAAAAAGGCGACAAAAAAGGTATCTTGTGACTTTTCTACTAAATCATTTTTTCTGGTAGAAAATTTCGTCCGTATTTTTATAAAATAATGAAATCGTGAAATTACTTTCTAAAGTACAATCTAGACAACTTTAGCTTTAATAAAAGTTGCTACATTTAAAAATCGAAGCAAGAGTACTAGGTAAAAACGTATCCATACTAGAAGAAAAAAAAGAAATAAACAGCATTATAAAACCAATAACTCTAACACTACACTCGGAATCTAATAAATTCAATTGGCCGATCTTTAAATATTATTAAAACATTAGATTGTAATATAAGCATCAGTGGTTCAGTGGTAGAATGCTCGCCTGCCACGCGGGCGGCCCGGGTTCGATTCCCGGCTGATGCAAAAAATTTTTTTTTCATATTTTTATTTAATTTTACATCGACACTTTTAAATATAAAATATATAAATATAACAAAAGTCAAACTAACTGTATATTTCGATTTCACTCTCAACCTTTTATTTATTTATAAATAAATATCTTACGGATTTTTTTTTTTTTAGAAATACATAAGAAATAAGTACAATAAAGAGCGGACATGGTACAAATAAAACTAACTATCGTAATTGGCTAAAGACGTCATTCTAATTATGGCGGAGAGCCTGTTTGTCACAAAATTAGAGCAAAGATCTGTGGGGGTTGCCAATAATTATTTTACAACACAAACACAATTAAAATTGAATATAATACATTATGTATGTTATTTTCTCATACAATTTCCATACAAAAATCGAAAAAAAAATATATGTCTGGATCCGTCCCAGCGAAGTCTACACAGGTGTTACCTCCAACACGAAAGTAAGGTCACTCTAACAAACGCGGTGCTCCAATCTGCCCTCCAACTAATTCCCTGCGGGTAAAATGCACACAAAATATTATGGAGACCATAATTCCGTGGGAAACCGTATGGGAACTTAATTTGTTCAGGTTCCATGCCCGGTTCGTTTTTTTTTTTACCGACTATAGTATAGTAGTTACTTTGCATCGATTGTTTTATGGCAAGCATTTGTACGGGGTTGAAAAACAGTTTAATGTAAATAAGTCGAAAAATAGTCTAGGGTTATAGGTACGCAAAATTTTGGCGATTTTCGATATTGTCGTCACTGTACGGAGGTCAGTTTCTTTTCCTTTTTCTCCCTCCAAGTTATCAGACAAAGATAGCTGCAGCGAACATCCGTTTTCACATTACTTCCCCCACTGCCGCCAGCGCGTATTATTAAAAATTACAAACGCACGCTCACATTGCACATGAATAATTATAAATAACGAAAACGACGATTTGAAAAATTTGCATTATACATAATATAGTCTGACCTATCTCTTAACTGATGCCCCGGAAATCCGCCTCGGTTCACGAACCCGCCGGCCTGGAATCCCGTTTTGCCACTCTTGTTCCCGGACCCGGATCGACTTGCGAGGAATCTTAATTCGATTTTCCCGAGCATTTATACGAAACGAAAACCATTTTATCCGCATAAAACTGCATGTAAAAATATTTGAATATTTTTGTCAAAAAAAAAAAAAAAAAAACCCGCCCTATATACCTACTTACTCGAATATTTAAATATTGTGTTACAGAAAACTATAAACGGTTGTTAAATTGTCATATTTCGAAACAAACAATTACGACTTTACAAAATCTTATGGAAATTAAAAATTCCGTTTAATTGTTTTTTTTTTTCAAATCTGTACACCCGCTATCTATTTTCGTGATTGATTTTCGAAAACTGCGCGTTTTACGAGATTCCCATTGAAATATTGTTTGTCTTTTGTCGCACAGTAAAAATGCTCGGAAATTCGATACAAGATTAGGTTGGGTACACCCGGAGTCGTTGCAAAAGTTAAACGCATTGTAGTGGGGGTACATTCATTTGATGACAAGAGTTTAAAGTTAAAATGTCGACGAATATCGAAAAAATCGCAAAATTTCGAATGCTATTCTCCGATTTATAGAGAAAACGGTACGTAACTGTATTATATTTTTGATTCTGTAAAAACATTAAGACGAGAAATTCTGCATACGGACATAAAATCCAGCAGGCAATTCAGCAGTGATTCGTCGTTACAAATTTCAGCTATTTCCAATATTTTTAAGTTTATCAAAGCACGTCTGACCGAATCGCGCTCAAAATGATTTTTCATCGGCAATGGAAATTGGAAATCGATATGAAACGTCACACCCAGGGCCGGCTTTAAAGCTGTGCAAGCTGTGTACTCGCACAGAGCCCCGCGCGCTTAGTGGCTCCGCAATCGTAGCCGGATAATAATTTCACACAATTATTGAGGGAAAAACAAATTAAAATGAATGGACGAAGGAGAATTGCGTTGTAGGATTCGTCTATACGCGTGGTATTAGACGGTGAAAAAAAAAAAAGAAGCTTATTGAAGCCCCGCGAAAATGATTGCCCGGGGTTTCGGTATTTTCTTGCCCGCGGTGTGTAAGGCATTTTTTGTTTTTTTTTTGTTTTTTTCATTGGCATTTCATCTCTAAGATCTCGACCACGCGTTTGTAATGTTCTCACTACAAGTATTTACTGCGTTTACCGCCGCCGGAATCCGTCTCTATAATTATTTTCCACCGAATCACAACAAAACAAAATCGAAAAATAAAAGAATCCGCTAAATATTCTTATTTTTCCGACGGTTCCCCCGATCGTTAAGCCGAGATTGCAATGCGTATACCAAATAACAATGACCTCCGTCGTCGACGGAATCGTCCGCCGGAAATCGCCCCGTAAATCGACGATCGGAGGATAATTTCTGGTGGAAAACTATCGTCGAAACATGCGGCAAATACGATATACACACGATTCAAGTGGCCCTTTTTTTTTCTTCTTCTTTTCTTTTTGAATTGGTTGAAAACAGTGCCCGTAATACGCAAATAAATGCCGTGCTTATAGTTGTTAAACTTGTCTCGGCTGCGCAATAATATTTAGCGGGCACCTAAAAGCGACGCACAATTACAACGGTACACTTGCGAATTTCCCCACTCGCGCAACGGCGGAGTAAAAAAAAAAAAAAAGTAAACGCACATCCGCCAGCTCTGCGCACCCGCCGAAAAATCCCGATCGGGTTTATTTCACAGCAACGACCAAGTATTTTATCCGTTGGTCTCACGATTGACGAGCAGCGCTCGACACATGCATAGGTTTCCTACGGACAATGTTTGTGGCGTATGGAAAATAATGTTCAAAAACGGTCACGGCAAATTCGTATGTACAAAATCGTAAATTGAACGTGCCGTTAACTGCGGTTGGCGTCGTGTAAAGGGGATCGCGGGGGCATAGACCCCCCCCCACTACGGGTCTTTGACGCGTTCGCAATTTTAGCGCCCCCAGAGTCGGTGGTCGAGTTGCGCCTACGACTCTGCGATGCGTTGACTCGGTGGGCACTTGTAATTCGGTCGTGATTCGGCGTTCGCGACGTCGTTCAAATCGGTCCGCGTGTCTTATCTCCGATAAGAATAAGAACGTGTTAGCGTTTTGAATCATTCGGTTTTGTTCGCCCGCTCTTGGGCTTTCAGCCACGTACGTTTTATTGTCTACGCGATTGATTTGCGGCGTTTCTTTTTTTTTTTTTTTTTCGACCGCAATCGCTGTTTTTACTCGTGTCCTCGGCGATAGGTTATGGTTAATGATCAAATTGTGATTCGGCGCATTTGAATTTTTCGTTTTTCTTTAAATACCTGTTGAATTTACAACGGGCGTGAAATACTCGAAAATAAAATAATATTTTTTGCCAAACAGGTTAACGGGTTCCAATATAGTGCGTTTTTCATCAAAAAACGTTTCGCGGATTTTCATTTCGCGGGTACGCAATAAATAAAACTCTCGTTTCTTTTATTAATTAACAAACCGTAATAAAACAGCCGGAACAAAATTCATTAGTATAATGGTTGTTGGTATAATCGTTGTTTTAATAACGATTATTAGGTACCGGCCCATTATGTTAATGAATTTTATTCTGACTATTTTACAAACGACAATTCCAAAAATAAAAAATACATAGGTAGGCACTTCTTATTCTTGTTTATTATTATTTACTATTGTACTACGAGTTCTACGTTCACAAATATCATAATCGAATTGAATTATTTTACATTGAAGTTGTAACATTTTACATAGGTTATCCTCATTTTAGATTCCGAGCGGATCGGAGGAATGTATTGGTTTTACAATGTTTATTATTTTTTTTTATTCTGTGAACAACTTTTCTACCAGAAACGTGTAGCGCCTTTTCTGAAAGGAAATTTGATTGGAGTGGTACTTTAGAGGGGGTAATTTTTTGATCTTCCCAGTGGTTTTAATAAATGGAAAAAATGTACGAAATGTATTATTTTCAAATCGTAAATATCATGGTCATTTGAAACATGTTCAACCGAACCTCGCTCAGAATCGTTTTTCATTATCGATGATTAATCCTTGTGTACAGGTGTACATTTAATTTCCCCTCTACCTACCCAACTTCTCACCAACAACAGTGACCTCCCCGCGTGCGAAGTATGTTAAAATATGTCTTTTATTTTTCCTATATAGGTTAGGTTAGCTACATTTTTGTGGGTGTTGTTTTTAAAAATTATTTTCTACTATTTATTACAAATACATTGTTTTGACTTTCAGGTGGACAACGAAACCGATTACCACCACTGGACGATGACCATTGCTGGTCAACTTCTGAGTCAAACACCATTAGAAGATGTAAAATATCTTGATATACTCGGCATCGTTACTGATCGTGCACCATACAGACCACTCTCATCAACGGATTCGTTTATGTCTGAATTGAAAAACAAAAAAACAAATTTGGATAATATGCAAGAAGTCAACAACAATTTAATGCCGTTGATCGGTTCACGCATATACAAGAAAAATATTTCACATTTGCCAGACTTGATTAGAGAATGTGAACAATCGTATAGGTCAAAGCTGGTAAACGAGTTCTCGAATTTCATACCGGTCAAACAGAAACGTAAAATGTTCGAAGGGTTACAGATGTGCTCGTCAAAAAGTGTGGACAACTTGCACGGTCTTTCCCCTCATTCGGAAAATATAAAATCTAAGTCAATGCACAATTTGGATACAAGCACGATGCCCGTCAAAGACATATGCAGATATTTTGAAAAAAGGTTTAATGACAATGAAAAAAGTACCGTACAATTCAGATCGCTGTATTAGCTGGTATCTAGTTAATTGGGAAGTGAGCGATAAAGGATTGGCGGTGTTCATTAAGTGTTGTTAAGGCCTTAAAATGAAGAATGAAAAACAATATGTTCCAAAGATTTAAGAAACTATTATTATGATAATATATTACTTAATGTATACTCTTTAGTCATAACTAAATAATTTTGTTTTTAAATAAATGAAAAACAATATTAGAAAAATCTTATAATTTGTGTACACATTTTGAGCTAAAAATAATAATAATAAACACAAACATTTGCCCACTTAACAATAATATCAAAAACAAAAAAACATTACTGTTCAATAAAATTTATCTTAAAAACTTGATATTATTAAGGTAAAAACAGCATTCTAATTGAGAATAAATTATTCCTACTTATAAAAACTTTTTTGTAATTTATTTAATGACTATAATAATATATAAAATGTAAGTTGTTCATCACGTAAACCAATTATTACCGATCACACATTTGTTTTCTACTTCACCGATAATTTATAATATATATATATATATATATATAAAAATATATTTTTAATTAGCTATCAAAACTCAAAATTACTTTCTTCAGTATTGAAGCGAATATTCCTCAATGATAAAATAAATAGAATATTAAAAAAATCTTAATATCAAGTGGCAGCAATACAATAATGAAACCTTATACAGTTATTAACAAGATGATAGTTTTTAAATATTTTTTGACAATTTCAAAATTAATTTCTAAGCACCAGTTGTAGTATACTTGGCCCACTTTCGTGTAGAAGATTAGACATTTGGGCACTGTTAAATTTCATTAAATACACCCTGCTAGTCTGAAAACAATCAATCAAAATATATAGTTAAGAATAAGAAAATATTAACAACATTATATCTGAATGCGTCATGTACATTTACCCGTAGCTAATAAAGTGTCTTTTGACGAGGAATCTAATTGATCTTCATACTTGGAGTGCGCTAGATCAGATAGTTCCTCAAAATGTTTCTGTCGTTTACGTACATTCCAGTGTAGACATTCAGCCAGCGAATCGAACCAATCAGATATCTGGTCTTGAGCGCATATTGATGGTACCGGATATATAGATGTAGTTACTTGTAAACTATATAAATCAAACACTTAATTAGTAATAAATATACAACTAAGACAATTTAAGCAAACAAAATATGGAAAATTAATGAATATATATATGAAAAAAAAAAAAAAAGATGATACACATGGTTATATCTTGAATATTTTAACATATTATACAAATTTAGTTAAATAGTTAAATGTGCAATAAAAAAATAAACATAATATACATGTAAGTATAATAATTTTGTGTTTTTTTAAAAATTATCTTAATAATAGAAACTGTTATTTGGATATATGTACTCTCCCCCAACAATTACCTAATTAAATAACCTAAAAAGTGAACATTTAATTTTACTGTGCTCATTATCCATCACCAAACATATTATACTAATCTGTCTTTATTGTTGACCGACCTATCGTCTGCACACAACTCCTGTTGATTTCGGCCATCGAATGAAACCCAGGCTGTTGATCGGGCATCTGGACTTAACATAATCTGTAACAAGTATCCAAACCCTGCTTAATCAGTAAACAATAGATCAGTTGCCCGCAAAATTAAAAATATAAACAAATAAATAATTAAATAATAAAGTACTTTAAAAAATAATATGACTTTAAGCTAATGAAATGTTCATCATTCACGGAAACTAATTGATTTCTATTTAACACTTATATATACTAAAAAAAATGGGTAGCATGTTATTTTTAAATACCAAAGTACAAAACAAATAATTTTGATCAAATTCTAAATAAATATTTCGTCTTTTGGAGATAACCATGTGCACCTCAAAAGCGTTTCAACAAATATAAAAAAAAAAAAATCAAAACATAATTTTATTTTAAAATTTACAAACAAAATTCCATTTTTTTTCTTATTATCTCCTATTACCTATCACCGTGAGAAATCTCTTGCCGATTACGACCATCGAATGAAACCCAGGCAGTATTGCGCCTATCTGGTGATACCATTATCTATATACACAAAAAAAAACATACCCTAACTCTATTGATCTCGTAGAAAATATTATTATTATTTAAACAAACTACACATCTATACTAAAATCATCTATGAACTATTCAAAACATCTAAAACTAATAATTCAAAATAAATGGAGAATTCCACACCATAAAAATACATAAATTAATATTTAAAAAATATTATAGTTTATATTCGACGATTAGGTATTAACAAGTTGTAATATATTTATAAATTGTTAATGTTTTTAAACAATATATTATCAATTAAATTATTTATTTACCAATTGGTGAATAATATTGTTTATTCTTAATATTCTTAATGTTACATTACATTGTTTTATTTATTTTAAATTGAATAATATTTATTTAGGTTTTTTTTTTTCATTAAACTATCAAATATTACTTTACGATTTTCAGTTATGCAATTTAGTAAAAATAATAATTATGGTCAAAGTGATCATTTACTTAGTAGTCAATCACACAAAAATTAATGTGTACATCCTTTTTCCCCCAGACTGTCATTGATAGAGTAAAATAACTGATTTATTCAAACTGTTATAATTAGAGGCCGTTATTATATGCACTAAAATAGTAATAAAATTGATACAATTATGCAGAGTAAAAATTACAAAATATGCATAAAATCTAAACCAGATTAAAAAAAAATGGATTAACATAAAATGTTTTAAACTGTATAACACACAATATTTATTAATTTTTAATAAGATTGCGCTGTCAAATTATTTACAAACATTTATTAAACAATTTTTGGTGGTAATTTTAAATTAACTATTGTTTAACTATAATAATCATTTTTATTATAAACTATTATAATATAATTTAAATTTGGAAAAAGACAATTTTTTATAAAGGGTTTATAAAATATGCAAATACATTAATAACAAAATATGCATTAATATGAAAAATAAAATATGATCTGTGAAATCAAATTTGAATTGAAACGTCCACTCTTCAAACCCTATGATTGTACAATGTACCTACACTCAATATGAACAACCAAATGCATATAATTTCGGTCTCCGGTTTTAAAGTAAACACAATTTAGAATATTGTTTTAGAAATTAAATTAAAGCTTATATTGTTGGTTAGTATAAAGCAAATAAAATATTAATTCAATTTTGATAATATAAAAATACCTAAATGAAAGATTTGAACACAAACCTTTGTAATCAAAATCATTACTGAACCTTAATTTCTTAATTTGTTTATACACCCAACTAGGCGTGGAACCCATTTAAAATAGTAAATTACTTTTAATTCAACGCCAGCTGGCACTACAATTGGTCTGAAAGACAGAGAATGTGGGCATATAGGTGTCACCATGATGGCCGGAACACTTGGATGAATCATTGATGCACCGGCTGCAGCTGCATAGGCCGTACTTCCGGTAGGTGTAGACATAATCAAACCTAATGAAATATAATTGTATTAATTATAAATGTATATTAATATTTTTATCATTCAAAAGAACTTTATATATACGTATTATGTATTAATAACATCAATAATCTGAACTTTGATAATTTGAAAAAAAGGACATTTAAATTTAAGACTTCCATTATACAAATGAAAATTATACTAAATTTGCTAAGTTAACCTTTTTATTTGCCAACATTGAATTATCTTAAATATTTCAAAATATTAAAGATGAAATTTAACAATCTCACTAAATATATTTTATAAAACAAAACAATTACAATATCCAATACAAATGCACTGTATTAAATTTCATTTGAAGCTTAATACAATATTAAGATGTAAATGAATAATTATAGTTTACTAAAAATTATTTTTTGATTTTGTTCTTATAATGTATTTGATAATAAATATGTTTACACCTACAGCCTTTAAATAACCCATTAATGTTATTTTACAAGAAATTAAGCATTACCGTCTCCTTGAACGGACGTAATGTGTTTTCCATCCAAAAACAAGTCGATATTGGATAAGTACGGTGATGGCCCACGATCGATAACCACTTCATTGAGCACCAGTAAGTTTGGTGGTGGTTTATTCTTGTCCTCATTCTTCCTGACAATTATACATCGTAGTCTACTTCGTAAAGTTAACGCAGCGTGGCCTTCGAGTACATTAGTCACTTGCTGTTGGAAATTGTCAAATTTAAATGGCGTTAAAAATCCTAGTGATCCCAAGTGAAACGCCATGACTGGTGGTACAGATTGCTAAAAATTAAAGGAGAAAGTTTGAATACACATCAACAGAGCGATGAAGACATTTTTTTATGGGTACCAACCTGAAACAAAAGACTAGCATAGAGCAAAGTACCATCGCCGCCCAAGCATATAATAAAGTCTATTTTATTTGTCAGATCATCTTTGCCATCTTGGAATGACTTTAATTTATCTCGTACTTCCATGAAACCTGAATTACTAGTGAGCATTGTGTCTTCCATCACAGAATGTTCAACAAAAACTATCATGCTTTTTTCCTAAGATTCAATAGTATGATTAGTGAAATCACAAACTATTATAACCAAAGTTTGGGACTTATAGAATTTAAAACGGTCAAAATAAGCAAAAATAATTATTTTCAATAATATTTCATATTTGAAAATGCTGCTGGATTTTTTATCAAGCCAAAAATATAAATAAAATTCTATAAGTCACAAATCCAAATTATAATCAATAAAATTTAAATTGTCTATGTTTTAAATAATATTACTTGTATCAGCCATCTGACGAGTTGTATGAACGGTGGCAAAACAGACATGTCTCTGATTTTTTTTATCACCAACACGGACAGCGGATTTCTGTACCACGTCAAACGCTGACTCGCCGGATCCTGGATTGTCCTGGTAATGATAAAAAAAAAAAAAAAAAACTACAATAACGAGGCACCCTTGAAGGGAACGCAAAGATACGGTCGAATCGGTACTTACATGATCATCGCTGAGGTTTTCATGATACGGCCGCATGGCCCGAACTGCTGGACGGGGCTGGGAGCGTTCAGCGATCGCGTTCTCCTGAAAACACAAGACAGAGGATAACGGTCAATGTTCGCCGTCTCCAGTGTGTCGTATGGGCTTCGATGCGGGATCACAATTTGTTCGAGTTATAACCTAAGCAGCCGTCGAGTGTGTTCGCGCGCGCGCTCATGTTAGTGTATTTTTGCTTACAAGTCGGTGTCGTCCTCAACGACTAAACTTTCGGCCGTTTCGTCCGTCATGACGTTCACCGGTCGCTCGCCGTTGTCACTTGCCGGAAATTCCGTTGCAAGTGTGGCGCATCTGTTCGATTTAACGGTAAAGACTTTCCGGATAGCGGTGAACCGGTTGTCGGCCGGCGACTGGGGTTTTAGTGCACCATAAATGCGGTGACGAGGAAGCGGCCTGCCGGCGGGAAGAAGAGCGTACGGCGAAAACGACAGAAATGACACTGAGGCGTAGTGAGTGACGAGACCGAAGACGATATAATTAAATCATAATACGATGGAAGGAGGTACCGGAATTCGGCGGTTCGGTGGCGGTAGCGGAACGCCGAATGCCGGATAACAAAAAAAAATAATAATAATATTATTGTTATCATTGTTTTTATCGTTGTCGCGTGGGTGCGTTGCCTGCATAGATAATGAAATAATTCTGTTATTATCTGCGGCGATTTTATGCCGCTAGAGTACGCTAAGCTCCGCGATTGGTATCAACGCCGGTTGCCGCGCTAAAATTACAACCACGCCATCTCGGTTTTAAAAGTGCAAAAATCTAGTCACAGAGAAAACAAAACCAAACCAAACAAGACTATAAAATGGTCGCAAAAAAGAAAGCGAACGCCAAACGGAGTGCCGTGGCAATAAAAGTAAACCGCGTGTTCAACAAAATATTACGGAAAAGCCGCTCGAGTCGCGGAAAACGTCGAAAATCGGGATATTTCCTTAATCCGATATCACTAACGCCATCTACACGATAGGCCGGGCATAACTATACGCATTGCCAGAAATCATTCGAACTTCCATCGATATCTTAGAACCTAAATTATTACGTTAACCTTAACAAACGTGTTCAAAAAAACGCGGAGACATTTGTTTCGTAAAAATACT